ACGCGCCTGGGTCTCCGAGGAGCCCGAAGACTTCCTGTCGCAGGGTTTTTCGTTTGGGACGGAGTTGCTGCACGACCCCGTTCCCCCCTCGTAATCAATTCCGTTCTCCCTCAATGTACTATAGCTACTAAGAATCGTTTCGCTTGCCTACCTGTATACGAAGTTCCGGACCTAGCGAACACTGTAGATTCCTCTGTTCCTTATGTACCTACCGAGAGAGCGTCTTCACCAGTGAAGCGCGGCAGACGGGAATCTGTACTTAATTCTCTCTCCAATACTACCAAAAAAAGAACGAAAACTCCGAGTGCAGCGGAACAAAACACACCCAACACTTTCGGCATCAACCGCATCGGACCCAAGCTTTTCAGCGTGGTCAGAGCGCTAGGTTCTAAGCGACAAATGGACATCCCGCTAGAGCTTGAGAATCCAGAAACCACCAAACGAACAAGTGTGCAGGCCCTACTAGACACCGGGTGTACAGGATCATGCATACACCGCGATCTGGTACGACGAGCTGGTTTAACCATGCGTGCCTATGACCGACCCATACCTGTACACAATGCGGACGGCACACCAAACATAGGTGGAAGTATAACCCACTACGTAGAAGTGTTCATCACAATCGGAAATCACCGAGAAATGATGCACTTACTGGTCACCGACCTAGGCAAGGCCGATCTATTCCTCGGACACGAATGGATCCAGCACCACAACCCACAGATCGACTGGCAAAAGAAGTCTGTGGAGTTCAGCCGCTGTCCCCACACTTGCGAACACGTTCTGGATGAAGGTGAACGCGTGTTCATGATGGACGTCCCTGCCTACTTGCATGCAAGAAGAGCTTCAGTAGCTATGGATATCGCCATTGAACAGAGCAAGAAACGCGCCCCCGCAACGTTTGAAGAAGTGGTTCCCGCACATTATCACGACTTCAAGGACGTGTTTGAAGACAGTACATTCAACACACTACCCGAGCGACGCCCATTACGATCACGCTATAGAACTCCTGCCTGACGCGAAACCATACTGTGGAAAGGTGTATCCAATGCCCCGACAACACCAACAAGCACTGGATGAGTTCTTGGATGAGAACCTGCGCACTGGACGAATTCGATCCTCTAAGTCACCATGGGGAGCACCTTTCTTCTTCGTAAAAAGAAGGATGGTAAGCTAAGACCGGTACAAGACTATCGCAAGTTGAACTCCATGACCAAAAAGAACAAGTACCCACTACCTCTCATGTCAGATATCTTTGATCGCCTCAAAGGAGCCAAGTACTACACCAAGCTCGACGTGCGATGGGGATACAATAATATCCGCATGAAAGATGGAGACGAGGAGAAGGCTGCGTTCATCACAAACCGAGGACTGTTTGAACCCACGGTTATGTTCTTCGGACTATCAAACTCTCCCTCAACCTTCCAAATGATGATGAACGACATCTTCCGCAACCTCATCTTGCAAGGCAAGGTCATTGTGTACCTAGACGACATTCTTATACTCTCGCAAGATCTTCACGAACACAGACGCGTTGTACGCAAAGTACTCAAGATCTTGCGAGACAACAAACTCACCTGCAAACCCGAGAAGTGCGAGTTTGAAGTACAAGAAACTGAATATCTAGGACACATCATAGCGCCAGGAATTATCAAGATGGACCCCGCCAAGGTAGCCGGTGTCACCGAGTGGCCAACTCCAACCTGCAAGAAACACGTACAAGGGTTTCTAGGATTCGCGAACTTCTACAGACGATTCATCAAAGACTTCTCGAAAGCAGCCGGACCCTTAAATCGCCTGACAGGCGACGTAGAGTGGCAATGGACACACGAAGAACAGAGCGCGTTTGAAGCTATCAAGAAACTGATTACGAGCGCACCTGTCCTCGCTGTCCCCAACGATTCAGATCCATTCAAGATCGAGTGCGACGCCTCAAACTACGCGCTAGGAGCCGAGTTATCGCAGAAGCAAGACGGGCAGTGGCGAACCATAGCCTTCCTATCGAGATCTCTGACAAGTGCAGAAAAGAACTACCAGATCTACGATCGTGAGATGCTGGCAGTAATACACGCACTTGACGAATGGAGGCACTTCCTACTTGGAGCCGCACATCCCGTAGAAGTTTGGACAGACCACAAGAACCTAGAATACTTCCGAAACCCTCAGCGCTTAAGTCCCCGACAAGTCCGGTGGCTACTTGCAATAGAAGAATACGATCTCGAACTCAGCCACCACCCAGGGAAGACCATGGGGAAGCCAGACGCATTATCACGACGACCCGATCACACTGCCGACAAGGAAGAAGTCGAGAACGAAGTACTGTTGAAACCACATCTATTCCGCAAGACTACAATAGATGGAACTACGAATATCATCACATCCGTGACAGACTTAATGTCTAAAATGGATGAAGATATACGTAACCGTGTGGGCATAAACGAAGACTACGTTCAGACCGAGGACGGCCTGATCTATAGGAGGGGGAAGCTTGTCATTCCTGATGACAAAGCGCTCCGCGGACGCATCATCGGCGCGCATCACGACTCTGTTAGCGCTGGCCATCCGGGCCGGAGCAAGACTCAAGATCTTGTGCAACGTTCATACTGGTGGCCAACGCTACGCAAGGACGTCGCAAAGTACATCATAGGGTGCACCACATGTCAACGAACGAAAATACGCACGCAAGCCAAGTCAGCCCCACTGCATCCGCACGAGATTCCTAGTCGAAACTGGGAATACATCTCTGTAGATCTGATCACGCACCTACCAAGATGCCTCGGCTTTGACTCCATATTCGTGTGTGTAGACATGAAGTCCAAGGACGTAATTGCAGTTCCATGCCTCGAAGCACTAGACTCAGAAGGATACGCAAACATCTTACTCAAGCACGTCTGGTCACAACATGGACTCCCACGCAAGATCACATCGGACCGAGGACCACAGTTCGTATCCAACTTCACGAAGAGCTTGTACCAAAAGTTAGGAATACAGGGAAACCCAAGTACGGCGTACCATCCACAAACAGATGGGCAAACTGAACGTATGAACCGGGAAATCAAGAACTACCTCCGCATCTTCATCAATCACCGACAAGACGACTGGGTCGACTGGCTACCGCTCGCGCTCTTTGCATATCGCAATCGACAACATTCTGCCACTAAGTTCTCCCCCTTCTACATGACACACGGCTTCCATCCGTACACTGGGGTAGAGACACACAAGCCGGCAAAGAGCGAATCAGCCGAACAGTTCAAAACACGCATGGATGATATTTCTGAAGCCGCTACAGAAAGCCTGAAGGCAGCACAGAAAATCATGAAGGAGAAATTCGACCGACACCGCAATCCCGCACGAGATTACCAAGAAGGAGATCTCGTGTGGTTGGAAGCGCTAAACATCACCACTGTGCGTCCAAACAAAAAGTTGGAGCACAAGCGCTACGGTCCCTTCAAAATCCTCGCAAAAGTCGGTGCAAGTGCATACAAGCTGAAGCTACCCAAGGCTCTCAGTGGTATCCACCCCGTGTTCAACGAAGATCTGCTTACCCCTGCATTCGCCCCCGAGTTCAACAACCAAGAGCGCTTAGAGACCATGGCGCCTGAAGGTGTCGACAAGCCCGAAGAGCCCGAGACCGTGGTAAACTCCAAGTTCGAGTCCGGTACTGTGCAATACCTCGTCAAGTGGAAAGACAAGCCCATCTCCGAGAACACCTGGGTCCCCCGTGGAAAGTTGTTCGATAAGTACAAGGATCTAATCGACGACTACCACAAGCATAATCCTACCGCCCCCCGACCTTTCCGTCTACTAGGACCACGCGCGCGTCTAGTTCAGATCACGGACCCTTTGGATCACGAATGGGATAAGTGGTCGCGCAAATGGGACAGATGGAAAGGAACGATGACTGTTCCGCTTCGCGTCTGGACTCTGGCCTGAATCGTGAGGACACGATGTTAGAGAGGGGGGTGATGTTACGGAAATTTGCCTTTTCCAGTAATCACGCAAGTCACGGTGTTAGTAAGCAGCGCGCGGCTCCGACGCCCAGCCACGAGGCTACCGCGCGCCGTACAAGAGCTCACTTGAGCGCCTCATGTACAACCGGGCCGTGGAGAGTGACCGCGCGCTCCTGCACGTTGCCTCTTGTGCCTGGAGCGTACCAGCGCCCTGACTACGTAGTTACTTCTTCCAGTATCGTACGCAGACGCCTCGCGCCTTTCGTGCGATTGCTCTTTGTATTTCCGTTGACTCTACACGACATGTGAGTGCAAGCAGGCGAGCTAACGCTGCAGCACGCGAATGCACGCGCGACTCACATTGACTCATGTACATCGTAGCTAGCGAATATAAAAGGGCCCGCTTCTGGAGGAGCAATCTCCAGAAGCTGTTTGGGCTTTCGTACCTCCAATCTCCCTCGCGAGTCTCGGCTGGTGCGCTATCTAATCTCGTAGATAGCCGCGCGCGCTAAGGCGTCTCACAGAGCCTGCGGTCGCTCGTGCTCAAGATAGAGAAGGAACAGTGGAAGCGCGACGACGACTGGCGGGAGCTGGTGAGCGTGTGGCGTGCACACTGGACGCCGACTTGGCTGACGGGTCCTGCAGACAGGGCTGCCGGACGCACTGGCCGCTCTGCCGGTGGAGCACCTCGCGCTGTGGGCGCCCGATCGGTACGAAGACGACGAAGTCGAGGAGCCAGTAGGGCCGGCACGCGCTCCAGGAATCCTGCGGGCGATCTGTCAGCCGCTTGCTGATGCTCTACCGCGTCTGCAGTACCTCTCTCTCTCCGATGCAGGGTTGCTTTCAGAGAGAGCGTATCCCACAGACCCGGTCTACGACTACTGTTGGGATCGATACGGTACCACGCTGGAGCCGGTGGATTGGTGCTGGTTCCGCGTTGTTGATAAAGATGGCACACGGACACTGGAGCATATCTGGAGCGATCACGGGAAACTCGCGGTAGAGAACATGTTGCGAGCTGCGCGGGGGTAAACCGGCCATGTAATACGTACATCAGACATTCAACGCGTTGCGCCACTTCGCACCGCCAACATCGCCCAGCACACGCTCCACCTCCGCGTACTCCAGGTTGAGGGCCACACGCCGCTCGTTCTCCGCCTTCCGCGCGACCACCGCCCCGTTCTCGCAGATCACCGCGTGCGACGCCAGGAGCGAGTCCAGCACCAACCAGAACTCGCTCGCACCAAGACGGCGCGAACAGTCGTCGTCCCCACTGTCCGTCGCGAGTAAGTTCTGCAAGAGCGTATGCTGGCGTTGCAGCTAATACTCCGGTGAATAAAGTCCACGGAATACACGAGACGACGTACCATGCCCCACTGTATTTCCTCCACGCCCTCCTTCCGCACGCACTTGACCAGCGCAGCGAGCATCACCCGCTCGTGGAACGATAGCTCACGCAGGTACGCCGCCGTCGGCGAGTTCTGCATCTCCTTGATCACCTCCTTCACGTCCTCCGTCCGCGCCGTGCGCCGTGCCGGTCGCACCAGCTCCGCCGCCCGCCGGCAGATGTCAAGCACCCGCCGCGCGTCCCCGCTGATCGATGCCACCTTCATCGACGCGAACTTGACCGCGTCGGGGGCGAGCACCGCGGGCGTGCCCGCAGGCAGGGAGGCCGCCGCCGCCGCCAGCCGCGCTTTGACTATTTGTTCCAGTTGAGGAGTGGTGTAGGGCTGGAAGTTGATGCGGATCATCCCTAGATGGGCGTCAACAGGCGTGAACGGAGAAGCGCAAATAAGACGTACCAAGACGACTGCGAACGCGACCTGTCATCACGCGTTCAGGCAGGTCCATGGTGTTGGCAACGGCGAGCACCACCATTTCGACCGGCCAGAGTCGGCCAGTTGAAGAAGTTGTACACCACGTCCTGCTTCGCCGTCATCAGTTGGTCTAATTCGTCCATCAGACGACGCTATGGATAGGTTAACGTGGTGGTCGCTGAAGAGGCTCAAAACACGCACCATGCGTGCCCTCCAGACGGTCCAACCCGATGTCCGCTCATAAAATGCCGCGAGAGGTGTCGCAGAGCCTCCTTCGACCCAATCTTCATGTGTCCCTCTTTCGCCGTATCATGACCATAAACCGCCTCCCAAGGAGACCATACGCGGCGGCTGGCTCAGGTATCTTCAGGCCGTTGATCTCGACGTACGAGAAAGGATTGGCTTCCTACGCCCACACATCAGGGCCCATTCGAAGCCGCCACCAAATTGCGTACTCACATTGCTCTCGCCATCCGCTTCAATTCCCTCACTACTGCATGCACCGTGGCAGTCTTCCCAGTCCCCGGCACACCAGAAATGTCTGTCTTGGCCTCAGCTCGCGCACCCCCACGAAACAAAAGGGAAACTCACAGATGCACCCGCCGCTTCCCTCCTCCAACAGCTCCTCCACTGCCCTCAACACTCGTCCATACTCCGTCTCCCGACACGGCAGCGCCCCCGGCCGTGCGGCGACGTGCAGCACATGCATCGCCCGCTCCCACCCGTCGCCCTCCAGTCCCCGCGCGAGCGCGAGCTCCAACGTTCCCTCCGCAGGCGGGGGCGGACGCACCGCCAGCGCCGTCTTCTTCCGCCGCTTGAGCGCCGCCTTTGAGTGTGGGGTCGGATGCGCGAGCGACGCCCGGTCGATCCGTGGTCGGCGCGGTGTCCGTGGCGTCTTTGGCGTGCGAGGAGTCCGTGGGCCGCGCCGCGTTTGCGACGTGAGGGTGTCCGCGGAGCATGGTCTTCGTCGGGACGTCGTTTTCGTCGCCTTCGTCGTAGAGGAGGAAGGGGCGCTTGGGAGCCCTGGTAGTCGTCTTCGGAGTTCGACGCCTCAGACTCGACGTCGGGCTCGGGTGGGGCCAGGCGACGACGCTTGCGTGGGTGACCGCGGTTCCGTCGAGGTGCATCGTCTTTGCTGCGGTGCAGAGGTTCCGGCGCGGGTTTCAGCGTCCAAGCGTCGTCATTCGGCCACGTCTCAGAGCTCGTCTGCACCGCAGACTCATGGAAGCCTTCCCAGTGGTGTTCGTAGTACAGACCCCGGGCGGTGTTCACGGCGAGACGGCAGAAGAAGAAGTCGTTCATCGCATCGTCCACGGGCTCTTTGATCACTGCAGAAGAGGAGGAAGAGACCGTGCAGCAGGAGATGATCGCGGATGAGGGCACGGTGTTCGTCATGTCGACGATGTAGAGCACCTCGTTCTAGAGGAGACATCGGCCAAGGACCCCGCAGAGAGATGAGAGAACGACGCACCTCGCAAAACTCTCGCTTCGCACGATGGGGAGGAAGTTCTCGCGGACGACAGAACCAATGGACACGTACGCGCAGGGGTGAATGCTCAGGGAATCCTCGCCCTCGACGTTCCATACGGCCACGATCACTCCGACGCTGGGGTATGGATACTTGCTGATCGTCTTCACGAGCACGGTGTCGCCCACGCTGAATATCGCGTCGTTATCGCCACTGGTGTCCTTGGGGAGGCTTTCCTTGCCGTACGTTCTTGTATTGGCACGGCGGGTGGTCTGGCGGGAGAATGAGGGGTAGAAGTGGGCTTTGCAGTTCTCCAAGGCGAGCTCTTCAGCGTCTTCGATCGCCAGGAGGTCCTCTGGGCAAGCAGGGCGAGAATATAGATGGACGGAGGGGATGACGTCGGAGTGGGATGTAGGGAGCCATGAGGAGACGGCAAAGCCTGGCTGTCCTGCTCCGCGTCGACCACTCCTGCGAGGGGTCTGCGGGGTATTCATGGAGAGCGGCCGTAGATGGAGTAGACGGCAGCGTGAAGCAAGATAGACAGAAAGGTCTCCAGGATGGCGGCGGAGATGGTGGTCGAGGTCAAGTCGCGAGACGCGCGCATCTGTGACTAATAGTGAGTGTCCGTGACCAGACGCGTTCGTGACGCGCCTGACTCAATGCTTACTGCAAGCACAATCAATCGCTGTTATATCCGTGTGACAGTTATACTATATCGGGCTGCGTCACGATGCGCACATGCATTTCCCGTGCGGAGAAAGGCAACCTTCCCGCCGCCGCCCGTCCAGGGACATTCCAGGGAAAGGCTACCTTTCCCTTGCATGTCAAATTCTGGTGTAGTGGTTGCAAAGGTTAACACTGGGCACACAACGACGGTGCGCACCAAAAATGGCAATATGCACGTCCTGTGGGCCGACTAGTCACACGGATATAACAGCGATTGGACATGAAATCTCGACAGACCAAGCACTGAACTTAAACTGAACATGCTAGAAACCCGTTCACGCAGTGTCTGGGTTCATTGATGGTCCACATCTTCTTCTCTTACGCGTGTACACGTGTGCGACAAGCATTGCCTACTGCGCTCGCTCCGTGACCTGAAATGCGGCTCATATGGTTTCGTTTGCGACTTTCGACAGATGCCCCGGTGACGCTTGACACATCCGAACCGCTTCGTTTGCGTGCGCAGACTCCAGAAAGACCATCCCGGCCGCGGCTTGGGAGTGTTCGCGCACGTTGATCAACTCGGCAGTGCGAGACACGGAACGATCATACGATCGTCTATTGGTCTTCACTCACACTTATAACGCACGCTACAAGTGCCCACACACAAGTCCATGTTGCGCTGCCGCGCCCAAGGATGATGTGGAGCAGCGTCAGGTACAACCCGGACGCTCAGGCATAAGTATGACATGGACTCCCACCACGTGGGGGTTGTGTGTTATGCCCCCCGTACCAACTCGAGAAGAGGCTCGAGGTACGCAGTACGCGGTGGTATGCACTATGGGCCCTCGGCGACTGCATCCCTGACTGACTCCTTTTTTCCCGCCTCGAAGGGCCTCAATCGCACCAATTTACAAGCGGGGCGTCAAGCGTCCCGCTGAGATCCATTTGTTGTACATACAACTCATCGGCGCGTGGCCATTCAGTCCTTAGTGGCCCTCGTCTCTCAAGCCACCGCCACCCGAGCGAACCTGAACGCCCGCCGCCGCCCAGCCGCCGCCAGCCGCCGCCGCACCGTCCGCGGACTGCTGGACGACGACGCAGTTCCCGAACCCGCCGCCGTCTTGAACGAGACGAGCACTTGCCGCCCGTGCCGGAGCACGACATCCCCGCGGGGAGCTGCACGGTGAGCTGCTCTGAGTCCACGCTCTTCGGGGACTGAGAGCGGCAGAGAGCGCGGGGCACCAGTCAGCGAGGTGCTCGCGTCAGAGAAGGGAGACGGGCCGACCTTGGTGCCGTTCGCGACCATCGTCGCCGCGACGAAGCTGCTCTTGTCGCCCGTGCCCGTCGGGTCCACCATCACCTGCGCGACCTGGCGCGAGCCGTCGACGCCCCTGCGGACGGGACGCGTCGTGTCAGACGGGCGGAGAGAAGAGAGAGAGACTACGGAGAGAGAGGGACGCACTTGTTGAAGTTGGTGATCATGGCCGTGAAGGTGCCGTCGGAGGCGACCGGGATGGCGTCCGAGGAGTCGAACGCGGACGCGACGTCCATCTTGCCGCACGGCTTCTGGTTCGAGGGCCGCTGCACGTCCGAGCGCGCCGCCGTGCCGCTCACGCCGAGCACGGGCGAGACCGCGGCGTGGGCGTGGGCCTGGAGGGCGGCGCCGAGGATGGCGGTGAAGGCGAGGAGGGTCTTGGAGAAGAGCATGGTGGCGGGGGGAAAGTGGTGAGAGGCGAAGTGTGTGGGTTGAAGGTGGTGCGGTGGGATGAGGATCCGGCCTCGGAATGTGGTAGGTGAGAAGATGGAAGTGGAGGAGGTGAGCAAGCTGAGGATTGACGGAGGGCGAGGGAGGGCTTTATACATGACCGGGAGCGGGCCCATCCAAGGTGGAGGGCTCCGCGAGCCTACACGGCCGGCCCGTACACCCTCATCGGAACAGCGGAATCGAAGTGCGCGGTTGGAATGAGCGACGGTATTGGACGAGGGGCAGGAGCGGGACGCAGAATCCGCTCACCGTCTGCACTGTGATGCTTCCTGCTGCCCGCTAAGTTGCTGCGGGAGACGTATCCTGGAAACCACACTGCAGCGGGGAGGGCGTTCTCGAGCCTCCCGAGTGCGACCCCAGCATCCGTAGAGTTCCAGATTGACGGGGTGCGGAATGACTCCTCCAGGGTGTCGTCACGGCCGTCTGAGTCATGTGTTCTGGCCAGGTAAATCCGTGGGAATTGAAGTAAAATGTGTCATTCTGCTAGCATGTCCATTAATTGCTCTCCTCGGGCCCATTATCCTCCAACGTCCCCTCATCGTCTCTGTCTTTGCCGATTATATCATAAATTGGAATTTAGCTTGTTTATGGTGTGCATAGAGGCATCTCGCTTCGAGCCAATACACGACACTCGCTGTCCACATCAGACGATGGAACACCGCCAGTCCGAGAATCGAACCAGCGAGCTCAGGCCCACACCTAGTAAGTAGTGGTGTGAGCTCGCAGTCAACTGACCACTGACTCGTATCCTCCGCGTTGAACACCATTGCACTTGTTCTCATCAAACACTCCTCCTCGCAATACGATATCGAATGCAACCTGCAGAGTACTGGCAACCCCCTTGGTGCCACCCATGGCGGCGCATGCTCGTGTTCGTCATTGACAGAGACTGCGGTGTCTCATGATGAGACATCCCTTCTCGGCGTCCAGCATGACCCTGAGGTGCGTCTCTTTCGTCCAGTTCAATGCGTCCTCTGCGGTTGGGGGTACAGTCCAGTGTTTTGAGGGAGATCTTCTGCGTTGGGTCGATGTCCACGCACGTCGTGACCAATTTCTGATGCCGGCCGATCTTCTGAATATTCCGCGCTACTATCCCAGTCTGCAGGGCGATGGACGAGAATCGTCTTTCCCGCTGGAGCATGGTTTCCAGGATACAGTCCACGTTTCCCGTCGCAAAGCGGACTGTTCGTCCTAGGAAGAGTGATGCAGACGGCGAGCAAATTCTGCGTCCTACTGCCCGGCCCTCGGCCAATAATGTCACTCATTCCGAACCGCGCACTTCGATTGCGCCATTCCGATGAGGGCGCATGGCGGGCCGTGTACGCTCGCGGGGCCCTCAACCTTGGATGGGCCCGCTCCCGGTCATGTATAAAGCCCTCCCTCGCCCTCCGTCAATCCTCAGCTTGCTCACCTCCTCCCTTCTATCTTCTTCACCTACCACATCCCGAGGCCGGATCCTCATCCCACCGCACAACCTTCAACCCACACCCACACCCTTCTCCTCTCACCACTTTCCCAACCGCCACCATGCTCTTCTCCAAGACCCTCCTCACCTTCACCGCCATCCTCGGCGCCGCCCTCCAGGCCCACGCCCACGCCGCGGTCTCGCCCGTGCTCGGCGTGAGCGGCACGGCGGCGCGCTCGGACGTGCAGCGGCCCTCGAACCAGAAGCCGTGCGGCAAGATGGACGTCGCGTCCGCGTTCGACTCCTCGGACGCCATCCCGGTCGCCTCCGACGGCACCTTCACGGCCATGATCACCAACTTCAACAAGTGCGCCCCCTCTCTCCGTAGTCTCTCTCTCTCTTCCGCCCGTCTGACACGACGCGTCCCGTCCGCAGGGGCGTCGACGGCTCGCGCCAGGTCGCGCAGGTGATGGTGGACCCGAAGGGCACGGGCGACAAGAGCAGCTTCGTCGCGGCGACGATGGTCGCGAACGGCACCAAGGTCAGCCCGTCTCCCTTCTCCGACGCGGCACCTCGCTGACCGCCCGTCCTCTCTCTCTCTCAGTCCCCGAAGAGCGTGGACTCGGAGCAGCTCACCGTGCAGCTCCCCGCGGGGATGTCGTGCTCGGGCACGGGCGGCAAGTGCCTCGTCTCGTTCAAGACGGCGGGCGGGTTCGGGAACTGCGTCGTCGTCCAGCAGTCCGCGGACGGTGCGGCGGCGGCGGCGGGCGGGTCTGGCAAGGCGGCGGCTGGGCGGCGCCGGGCGTTCAGGTTCGCGCGGGTGCCGGTGGCTTGAGGAGCGAGGGCCACTATGTAAGGACTGAATCGGCCGCGCGCCGATGAGTTGTATGTACAACAAATGGATCTCAGCGGGGCGCATTGACGCCCCTGCTTGTAAATTGGTGTGATTGAGGCCCTTCGAGGCGGGAGAGAAGGAGACGGTCAGGGCTGCGGTCGACGAGTGCCTCGTACCGCATACGTTCAGTGCATACCCCCGGGTACGGGCGCATACCTTGAGCCTCTTCTCGAGGTGTTACAGGGGCACTGCATAGTGCATACCTCTGTAGGGGATCCATGTCATGTTTATGCCTGAGCGCTCGGGTTGTATTCCAACATTGCATCCCAACCTGACGCTTCTCCACATCATCCTTGGGCGCGGCAGCGCAAAATGGGACTTGTGCGTGTGCATTGGTAGCGTGCCGTAATAAGTGTTAGTGAAGACCAATAGACGATCGTATGATCTTTCCGTGTCTTCCGCTGCCGAACGTATTAACGTGCGCAAACAATCCCAAGTCCCGACCGGGATATCGTCTTTCTAAAGTCTGCGCACGCAACCGAAGCGGTTCGGATGACAACGAGGTGGATAGAGGAATAGATAGATACAGTAGACGGGACTCGAATGCTACTAATGCATGGGCACCGCGTAGGGTATGGTCGGGCGGTCGGGGTGGGGGAGGCAGGGCGGGGGTGCCCTCAGAAGGTATCTAAGTGTGCAAAGCGATGCAGGCCCGCGCGACGGCGGCGGCGGGCAGATATGGCTACAGAGGGATATAACGGAAAGCGGCAGAGACGGGAGACAGAGCAGTGGACGAGACGTAAGCGGGGCACGGCGTGACGGTTTATGGCTACAGCAGAGGAGTGATTAGATACCCGCGGTCACGGGGTGGTATAACGGCAGACGTATGCGTGGGGGCGGCGACGACGACGCTCGAGAACAGGATCCTTACCAAACACGATCCATCCATCCGGAAATCAAGCCAAAGAACGAGCGGGGCCTAGTAGACCTGCTCCGGCGCGCAGTACCCGTACTCGGGCATGCCCCCGCCCATCTCCATCTCGAGCCCGTACACGTCGTACGCGCCCGCGACGTCGACGTACTCGAACGCGCCCGCGTCCATCGGCGGCATGCCCTCGCCGCCCTCCGCCATCTTCGCCTGCTCGAGCTCGTGCGCCCACGCGCCGTACGCGTGCTGCGGCTGCGGCGCGCACAGCTGCTGGTGCTGCTGCATCGGCGGCGGCCCCGGGGGCGGCTGGAACTGCTGCTGCTGCTGCGCGTACGGCAGCGACGCGTCGGAGCGCGCGGGCGAGCCCGAGATCGTGCTCGGCGGCCCGCTCTCGCCGGGGGTCGCCCACTGCGCGTGCGGGGGGACGGCGTCGTACGGGGTGCCCGCGGAGAAGCAGTCGGTGCCGGTCGAGGGCGGGCCCGGGGCGAACGCGAAGCCGTCGAGGGGCCCGATGTGGAGGTGGAGCGCGTGCGGGTCCGCGGCGTCGGGCGCGACGGGGGCGTACGCGGGGTCGAAGACGGCCTGGTGGTGCATGGCGTGGTCGGCGGGGACGTCGGCGAACGCGTTCGCCCAGCCGGGCTGGAAGATGCTCGCGTCGGTGACATCGGGGAGCGGGGACCACTCCGGCTGGAGCTGCCACGGGGCGGGCATCGGGGGCGCGTAGCCGTGCGGGTCGAGCGTGGACGTGTCCCACATGCGCTCCGAGGGGACCGGCTGCGCGGAGGAGGCGCGGCGGAGGCCGAGGAGCGTCCGCTGCTGGCGGGCGATGTTGCCGACGGGAGACGCGGCGCGGGAGCCGTGGGCGCTGCCGCCGAAGCCGGGGTGCGCGAGACCGAAGGCAGGCTGGGGCGTGGGCTGTGCGAAGAATGGGAGGGAAGGGATGGAGATCGGGTTCGACCCGTGCCACATGGACGACGGGGGCGGGACGGATGAAGGACGGCGCTGCATGTACAGCGGGACCTGCGTCGAGGGTTCCGCCGCGGTGAAGTCGTAAGGCGGGGGCGGGGAGGGGAAGGCAGGGGAGTCGAAGGCGGAGTGGGGACGGGACTCGAGGGCGCGGGCGAGCTCGTGGCGGTGGACAGCCTCGGCGAGCTCGTGGCCCTTCTTGCCCTCGAGGAGAAACTGGGCGACGACCTCGCACCGTTCTTCTTCGCCGGGCGGTACGGGCGGCCTGGTGGGGGCAGGAGACGGGGAGCCAGAGTCGGCGGCGGACTTTGCGGCCTTCTTGTTCTTGTTGTGCACGGGGCGGAAGCGGTAGTTGGGGTAGCGCTCGCGGTGTGCGATCTTGGCCTTCTTGGCCTCGATCTCCCAGATGCGCTTTTCCTCGAGGGGGAGGGCGCGCCAGCAGTTGCCGATGATCTTGCTCAGCGAGGCGTGGTTGGTCTCGATCGAGCCGGGGACGTGCTTTTGGCGGACGAAGTTGGCGCGGAAGAGCATGAAGGCGTTCGGGGGCCGGGGGATGTAGCCCTGGGAAAGGCGCTTGCCGGGGGGAAGGCGGCGGCGGGTGGGCGCGGTGGGCTCGGTGGGGGGGAAGAGGGTGGAGGCGGACTCGGGGGAGATGGAGGACTGGTCAAGGTCGTCGTCGGTCTCGACGTACGTACCGGGCGTGACATTGGGGGCAAAGGTGAGGGCGCGGGGCGAGAGGGAGGAGTTGATGCCGTAGTTGCCCGGCTTGACCTGAGTTAGTCCTAGAGCGTGGGGGATAAGAGATTGATAAGAGTTAGAGTGGATGGAGAGAACACACCGGCAGCGACGGACGATCTTCTGCGGCGGATGAGGGCAGACCGAGCAGCAGGCATGGCGATGGATGCCGAAAGGGGGCGGACAAAAGAGAGGGAAGGCGCGGGGAAAGGCGTATTGTCCCCACCTCTCTTTAAATCGACCACGCCCTCGCCCTCGACCGTCATCAGAACCTTCCCAGCCCAGGACCCGGGCGCGCAACGGGCGCGGTCCCATCGCCGTCCCCAGCGCCCGTCCAGCGCCTCTCCGGGTCCCGCGGTGGCCTCCCAGCGCCTCCGCACCGCCCTCGCCCCGTCGATGCTGCCCACCACGCCGCTGCTGCCCACCACGACGCTCATTTCCCCCACCTCACGAGGAGGCCTCGACGAGGAGATCGGTGCCCATCGCCCGTCGGTCCTCGCCCAGGGCACTCTCGGGGTCCGCGCGCGGTCTGGTGACTGTTGGGGAGATTCCCTTTATGTCCCGATACGGCCGTCGCTTTGTCCGCCTTCCTCGACCGGCAGCCTGAGAACCTGCCCGCAACGTGGCCCCGCCGCTGCGAAGCCCCGCTCCGCCGGCGGTGCGCCCTCTCCTTCTCGATTCTGTCCCCTCTCATCGTCCGATCTACAGGTTCACGTATGCTCAGGGCGCACTCCGGACCAACAGGCGCAGGCTCAACTCTCGAGCCTCGAGCGCTGCTTCAAACCGTCGACCCTCAAGCATATTTGACAGCTCGCACCGTCGTCCACCTTTCGCACGACCTCGTCCATCTTTCCCCGCCCCGGTCCGACAGTCGGGATCAATGCTCTCAGCGCTCTCCAACGACCACGCGCGGAAAGAAGCCCGGACTTCGTCCGCCCGCACTCATCAGAACTCTAAGCTTTCAACTGGAATCCTCCCCAATTTCACTGCCGCGATCAAGCACGAGATATCTCCTGGGCTTGTGCCCAACTGAAGGTATGTCATCATATACGCACTGAATGCATCCACTTACCACTTTGTCCTTTAGGTTCTTCTCAACGACCAGCTCGCAATAATGAACACACTTACCGCGGCACCACGTGGGACACGGCGCCGAAGACCGAGGTGGTACGCCCGCTCGCCCGCGTCTCTTCAATGTCTTCGTGCCTCGTTTCAGGTGCCTCGTGCACGACGATAGAGTGAGCTCTGACACACCACAGCAGCTTCACCCGAAGCCGAGCGATCTCGCCAACTCCCGCTCTGCGCCCGATGTCTCGTCCCCAAGCGAGCCGCAGCGTCCCGAAACGGCAGGCGTTGTCGTTCGCCCCGATCTCCCCTCCCCCTGGAGCCTGGCTCTCGTACTGCTCCTGCCGCTTCCTGCCCCCTGATCGCGCGAAGACCTCGGACGGAAGGAGCGTCTCGGACTCCGTCAAGCAGTGCCCCCCGAACGCAGCCCGACGACGGCTGCGTCCCGTTGGCGACAGGACACCCTCGCCCTCATATGGTCGCTCATGTTCTTCCGCTCCTTCCCCAGATCGACACCATGCGATGGCTTCTGCGCGGCGCCGCCGGTCCTTCGTCTGGTAGAGAACCCTCGCCATGTGCGGCGCGCTGCCCCGGTCGTATCGCGCGCCAACTCCGCGCTCTGGGCAGGCGCCGCGGGTCGTACGCTTGTCCTCTGCAGCTTCTCTTGTGCGCATGCCTTCCCGATCGAGCACCCTCTTCGCTCCCACAGCGCAACCCACCGTCCTCCCGCGCCCCGCCACACACGCGCCATGACGACGAGACGTGCCCAACCCGGCTGCAGGACATCCGTCCGCGGTCGCTCGCCACTGAGCTGGCAGCGCCGACCGTTATCCTCGTCGTCCTTCCCAACGAGCCCCTACACGCCCAGCCGCGTTCGCCTCCGCGCCCTCGCTATGGAGACAGCCTCCGCCGCCGGATCGGGCTCGACACGCTGAGCCAGAGGCTTGCTTGCGCGGGGCGGCCTGGGTGGCCGGCGGCTGAGCCCGCTCCGGGGCCGGGCTGGTGCCCGATTGCTCCCGAACTCCTCTGCCCAGGTCCCTCCGCTCCAAACGACGCCGCGGGCCGGTGTCGGTCCTGCGCGAAGCACGGCGCACCGCTTTCGACGGTCGACTTCCGAGCGGAGTCGTGCGCCAGCTCACCGCGGCATCGACATCGACATCGACATCGACATCATCGACCGCGGCTGGATCGCAGTCCTGCCGCCGGCGACGCGCGTTCTCGATCGATCTGTCGATGGCCCGGGCTGTTCTGCGGGCTCACCCCGGCGGGGGGCGGTGCTGACTCGCGTTGGGTGCGGGTTGTAGCGAAGGCCCTCGCGCGAGTTGCGTGCGGGAGAGGTGTTGGTCGCGCCGCGCCACGCACAGCGCGCCGCGTACGGGCCGGCGGGCGGTTGCGATCCTCCGTGGGTCCCGGGTCGGAAAGGGGTGCGGGTGGGCGCTTCCGGTGCATTCGATGTTCTGTGATGATGAGCATACTTACATGCGGTGACTATGGAATGGAATGCTTGATCGATCCTGGATTTCTTCGAGACGGGCGAAGAGATGGTTGGAGAACGCCGTACGGGGTGAAGCAGTCTGAAGCAGCCATGCGTCTCGTCGACAGCGCTGTTCTCTGAGGTGCCTGACGTACCAAAATCTGACATGTGTGCCGAAAGCCGACATAAACGCTGATGTTGACGTTGAGAATGAGGCGTGCGATGCCGCCTGACGGGGAAATGATGACTGCTCGGGCCAGGACGCAGACAGGCCTAGGCAGGCACGCGAGCTGGGACTCCGAGGATATCGGCCACCGTCAGGGCCGCACGTCGCGGCCCACGTGTCAGGCGACTCAAGGCTTGAGCGAGTTGGTCGCCGGAGGCGCACTGAGGCGTATGGTGGTGGTGATATGGTGAGTCCACCACCTTTCGTGCCTCTCAGGGCTCATACCGCCCATTGCTGACACACACGTATCTATTCCTTGCTCCTCGCAGGGCCCTCAGCGCTTCCTCCGACTTGGGCTCGACATCGTGCACAAGTCGCTTGAGTTTGGCGGCACTTTCGACACAGTCGATCCTCGGAACCCTGACAGAGGTGCAGGAGCGCTCGCCCGGGGCGGTGCTCCGCAGTGCCGTCGACGACATCCCGTGTGCAATCCGCGGTGCTCCCAAGCCGCAGGCCTGCCAGCCGATACTGGAGGTCCACTCCCTAGTCACAGAAGTCACGGCGTCGTCGACTCGGAAGGATGCAGCATTGAAAGCGGTACACTGTGAAGAAGCTCGCGAAGAATCCGATACGAGACACCGCGGACCAGCTGCGCTACTGTCCTGGCTAAGAATCATCCTCGGAAATGGCTCGGTGATTGTGGAGGAGGAAGAAAATAATAGATCGGGCGCCCGACTCGCTCTCTGAAGGCGAGAGCCCCAAGTGATTTCGGTGGCTGGGTCGCGTGCATACAGAGCGTGACGATTCCAACTTGGATTCAAGCGGTGGCTACGACATTCAACATTCGCTCTACCTCATACTTCCCGCACTCGGCCAGAATAGGTGTAAGTCTGCGCTTTTACCTCCTTCTACGACGCGATACCACTGGAACGGGGGAAGCTCGCAGACCGCGTCATTCCGCATGTGCCCGCCGAGGTACGGGGCCTCATGCGGCTGCAGTCCTGCCTGGGGCTGTCTCGGTGCATCCGCCAGAGCGAGATACCGAAGGCGCGGCAACGCTTCGACAAGAGGACGGCATATGGCCCTCAGAGCTTTCGGATCTCCTCCAGGCCCTCATCGCCTTCATCCGTGTCCACTTCGCCGCCATCTTCCTGCGCCTTCGCCACCCATAAGCTGAGATGCTCCAGCCCGGGAAGTGTCGCCAGCGCACCCGGCAGATCCGTGACATCCTGAGAGCGCGATCAGCACAAGACCGCGCTGAAGCTCGCGGAGCTCACCGTGCTCTCGTCCCGTTCCTCGACGCGCGACCCCCCGGCGTCGCGCCGCTCCAACGTGAGCACGAGCGAGCGCAGGCCCCGGGCGCTCTTCCCGACGGCCGCCCACAACCTCGCACCGCCGAGCCCCCCGTCGCCGACCTTGGCCGCCATCGCGAGCCGTGCCGGGCCCGCCCTCTCCAAGAGCGCGTGCAGAACCGCATCGGGTCCACGTGTCCCGGCAAGGCCGGATTCGCGCCCACGTCCTCGAACCACGGCAGACCCCCGCTCCCTCGCGGCGGGTCGCAGCCCACGCGGAGGTCGGCGATCGCGAGCTTCAGCGCCTCGCAGCGCCCGACGCGGGCCGCGACGAGCGGGAGGTCCGTCGCGGCGTGCACGGTGAGCGCGCGGAGAGGGGGCCAGGACGGGATGGGCGGGCGCAGCGCCGTGGTGTAGCTGCTGAGCTCGGCCCAGTCGAGATGGAAGAAGACGTCGAGGGTGGCGAGGTGGGGCAGTGCGCGATGAGCGCGTCCGCGGCGACGTGGGGCACTCGCTGAGGCGGAGGTGACGGATGGATCGGAGGACGGGGAGCGGGGCCCTGGGACGTCGGAGTCGAGCTCAGGGGTGTATCCAGACATGCAGAGGGTGTGGAGGCGTGTCAGGGGGATAGTGCGTGCAGGAGGGACGCGACTGTCGGCTGGTGACACGTATGTAGTCGTACTGCACGAGAAAACCGTGAGGCTGTCGGGTAGGAATGGCTTCGAGCTTTGAAGTGGGTTTGCGAGGGGGAGGCTGTGAAGACTCTAAGGAAGAGAGCGAGTGTAGGCAGATCCAATGGCGGGTGTGCAGCAAGCATCCTTGAATCTTGTATCAGAGCACTCGGAGGTTTGTACCGCGAAAAGGATATCAGCGGCGAGGCTTGCTTGAGAATAGTCCTCGGTGAAGAAAAGCCAACTTTGACCGAGATTTCTTTCCTCTGCTGTCTCTTTGCTGAAAGTTGAATGTCGAAGAGAAAGAACTTTGACGTATTGCGCTCGAAGTCGACCGCTCCTGGTGGGACTCAACAGGTATTGATGTAGCCAGCGAAGCCGAGCAGGGGTGTTGCAGTCAACCACAGCGACCACTCGATTGATCGCAAAATCGTAAGCAGCCTTAGAGGCGAGCGCGACGTTGAGTGCGTCGGTGCCGTCGATATATGAAGCCAAGAGATGGAGTATGTCGTGATTCAAGGAGAAGAGAGAGGGTCCCTTGAACGTCTGATGCTTAGGATCTCAATCGGCGAGTATGTACAGAAACTGTGGGACTCACAGCTGTCATGCGTGCGTATGCGAGCCCGTGCTGTAAGTGTAACTTCGGAGCTGTGGGGACAAAGCCGCTGGCACCATAGCGGATCTGGCAGGTATACATCGATAATCTCAGGAGGGACCCCGGAGGCAGCCAAAAAGTGGTAGGGGTCCCAACCACATCTGTCTCCGATCACTGCGCGGCGTCCTCCTCCCTCGTCCTCGTCCTCGTCTGCGCCGTTGCTGTTCTCGCCTGCACCCACGGCACACACAGCGCCCGGTGCTCCAGCAGCAGTGGCGACATCGCGGCCCGCAATTATATCCAGCTTGCGCGTCTGCAAGCATTACATAGCAGAGCCGCGCGCGCGTTAAAATCGCCCCGCACCACCCCACGAAGCCGTCCTCAAGGCCTCAGGGATACGCGAGAGCGTGAACGTGATCGTACGCCCGCGCCGCCGACGCGCACGTCGTGCTCAAGCCGCACGGGCGCGGTCAAGGAGAGGAGGTCGAGCAGGCATGGTATACAACTCGGCGCTAAGGTACAAGTGCAGCACGTTATGGACCTCCGCCGAGGTATGCACCGCAGTATGTGGGGGTTAGACGTTGTGCCCCCCGCAATGGCTCGATAATACGCTGCATGTATGTCGTATACGGGGGTATGCGCTATACAAGGGATGCGGTATGAGGGAGTCGACTCAGGACTGTAGATACGCCTGACGTCTTCGGTGCCTTATCCAGGACCCTTTTGTCCCGCTCTGTGCGCGTAGCTCACCACATTACGGGACGACAAGACGTACTCCAGCGCAATGCCAAAACGTTCACGCACACAAGTATATGGTCTCGAAGGGCGTCGATCGCACCGATTGCGAGTTGGGTGCCAAAACGCCCCAAATTCCGTCTGTTGTACATACAACTCATCCGCGCACAGCCAATCTAGTCCGTACTAGGATTTCATGCCCGTCAAGCCATATCCCAATTCCATCACCGCCGCTCACGCGCTGGCCGCCGCCGGCTTGCCGCCGGTCCTGACCTTGACCATCCTCGCCTTGACCTTCTTCGCCGCGGCGCTCGGGCTCGTCGCAGCGTCGGACGCAGAAGCGGACCCGGCCGCGGCCGTGCCAGACGCGCCGGCCGCACCGTCCGCGGACTGCTGGACGACGACGCAGTTCCCGAACCCGCCCGCCGTCTTGAACGAGACCAGGCACTTGCCTCCCGTGCCCGAGCACGACATCCCCGCGGGGAGCTGCACGGTGAGCTGCTCCGAGTCCACGCTCTTCGGGGACTGAGGGGGAAAGGGAGCGGGCGGTCAGCGAGGTGCCCGCGTCGGAGAAGGGAGACGGGCTGACCTTGGTGCCGTTCGCGACCATCGTCGCCGCGACGAAGCTGCTCTTGTCGCCCGTGCCCGTCGGGTCCACCATCACCTGCGCGACCTGGCGCGAGCCGTCGACGCCCCTGCAGACGGGACGTGTCGTGTCAGACGGGTGGAAGAGACTACGGAGAGAGGGACGCACTTGTTGAAGTTGGTGATCATGGTCGTGAAGGTGCCGTCGGAGGCGACCGGGATGGCGTCCGAGGAGTCGAACGCGGACGCGACGTCCATCTTTCCGCACGGCTTCTGGTTCGAGGGCCGCTGCACGTCCGAGCGCGCCGCCGTGCCGCTGACGCCGAGCACGGGCGAGACCGCGGCGTGGGCGTGGGCCTGGAGGGCGGCGCCGAGGATGGCGGTGAAGGCGAGGAGGGTGTTTGAGAAGAGCATGGTGGCGGTTGGGAAAGTGGTGAGAGGCGAAGTGTGTGGGTTGAAGCTGAAGATGATGCGGTGGGATGAGGATCCGGCCCCGGGATGTGCTAGGTGAGGAAGATGGAAGTGGAGGTGAGCAAGCTGAGGATTGACGGAGGGCGAGGGAGGGCTTTATACATGACCGGGAGCGGGCCCATCGAAGGTTGAGGGCTCCGCGAGCGTACACGGCCCGCCCGTACGCCCTCATCGCAACAGCGAATCAAAGTGCGCGGTTCGGAATGAGTGACGGTATTGGTCGAGGGGCAGTGGGACGCAGAATCTGCTCACCGTCCAGTGCATGATGCTTCCTGCAGTCCGCTTTGCTGCGGAAGACGTATCCTGGAAACCACACTGCAGCGGGGAGGGCGTTCTCGAGCCTTCCGAGTGCGACCCCAGCATCCGTAGAGTTCCAGATTGACGGGGTGCGGAATGCCTCCTCCAGGTATCGTTACGGCTCGTCTGGCAGATGCTCATTCGGCGAACAGTGACGGCGCGGGATCAGTCACCCACGTAACGCCGACAAGCTCCGCCACCCCGTTCAGAACTTCCATCGCCCAGCAGGCTGTGACAGTAGGGTAGAATATTCAGAAGACCGGCCAGGGTCAGAAATTGGGAAAGAGTGATTATAATGCCGACATACCACTCCTGGTCACGACGTGCGTGGACGTCGCACAACGCAGAATAGTATCTTCCTCACACCGTTATACTCCAAGCTGCACTGCATCTCCAGCCGCTCAGGAGACATTACACCGGACGTGAGAAACATAACAGGCTCACCTCAGGTTCATGGTGGAGGCCAAGTGCAGGATTGTCATCTTCTCAGGATAAGGATACTGCAGGCCTACCGGGCCGTCCGTCACTTTCAATGACGAACGTGACGAGCATCACAATACATGCGCCAGTATGTATGACACCAAGGGGGTTGCCAGTGCTCCGCATATTACATTCGATGCATACCGCAAGGAAGTGTACTGGGAGAAGAGCCGAGCGATGTTGGTCATGAACTCATGATCCAGCTGCCATGCATAGTGGCCGCCGACGTCCTGTCACGGACGCGTCTGGTCACGGACACTCACGACTGGTGACCGTCAGACGCGTCAACGAAATTGATCCCTCGACTCGACCTCAACCACCATCTCCGCCATCATCCTGGTCACCTTCATCTTGTGTCTACTCCATCTGCCGCGACTCTCCATGAATACCCCGCAAACTTCTCGCAGGAGTGGTCGACGCGGAGCAGGACAGCCAGGCTTTGCCGTCTCCTCATGGCTCCCTACCTCCCACTCCGACGTTGTCCCCTCCGTCCATCAACATTCTCGCCTTACCTGTCCAGAAGACCTCTTGGCGATTTAAGACGCTGAAGAGCTCGCCTTGGAGAACTGCAAAGCCCACTTCTACCCCTCATTCTCCCGCCAGACCACCCGCCGTGCCAATACAAGAACGTACGGCAACGCAAGCCTCCCCAAGGACACCAGTGGCGATAACGACGCGATTTTCAGCGTTGGTGACACCGTGCTCGTGAAGACGATCAGCAAGTATCCATACCCCAGCGTCGGAGTGATCGTGGCCATATGGAACGTCGAGGGTGACGGATTCGGGGAGCATTCACCCCTGCGCGTACGTGTCCATTGGTTCTGTCGTCCACGAGAACTTCCTCCCCATCGTGCGAAGCGGGAGTTCTGCGAGGTGCGTCGTTCTCCCATCTCTCTGCGGGGTCCTTGACCGATGTCTCCTCTAGAACGAGGTGCTCTACATCGTCGACATGACCAACACCGTGCCCTCATCCGCGATCATCTCCCGCTGCACGGTCTCTTCCTCTTCCTCCACAGTGATCAAAGAGCCAGTGGACGATGCGATGAACGACTTCTTCTTTTGCCGTCTCGCTGTGAACACCGCCCGGGGTCTCTACTACGAACACCACTGGGAAGGCTTCCGTGAGGCTGCGGTGCAGACCAGCTCTGAGACGTGGCCGAAGGACGACGCTTGGACGCTGAAACCCGCGCCGGAACCTCTGCACCGCGGCAAGGACGATGGACCTCGCCGCAACCGCGGTCAGCCACTCAAGCGTCGTCACCTGGCCCCACCCGAGCCCGACGTCGAGTCTGAGGCGTCGAACTCCGAAGACGACTTCCATGGTTCCCAAGCCCCCTCTTCCTCCTCTACCGACGAAGGCGACGAAGACCATGTCTCCGACGAAGACCACGCTCCGCGGACACCCTCGCGTCGCAAGCGCGGCGTGGTCCCGCGTACCCCTCACAAGCCACATACCCCACGGACACCGCGCCGACCACGGATCGACCGGGCGTCGCTCGCGCATCCGACCCCACACTCAAAGGCGGTGCTCAAGCGGCGGAAGAAGACGGCGCTGGCGGTGCGTCCGCCACCGCCTGCGGAGGGGATGCTGGAGCTCGCGCTCGCGCGGGGGCTGGAGGGCGACGGGTGGGAGCGAGCGATGCATGTGCTGCACGTCGCCGCGCGGCCGGGGGCGCTGCCGTGTCGGGAGACGGAGTATGGACGGGTGTTGAGGGCGGTGGAGGAGCTGTTGGAGGAGGGGAACGGCGGATGCATCAGTGAGTTTGCTTTATGCTTCGTGCGGGGTGCGCCGGCTGAGGTTCAGGCAGACATTTCTGGTGTCCCGAGGACTGGGAAGACTGCCACAGCGCATGCGGTAGTGAGGGAACTGAAGCGGATGGCTGAGAGTAATGTGAGTACGTGATTTGGTGGGGGCTTTGAACGAGCCCTGATGTGCGGGTATAGGAAGCCAATCCGTTCTCATGCGTCGAGATCAACGGCCTGAAGATACCGGAGCCGGCGGCGGCGTACGGTCTGCTCTGGGAGGCGGTTTATGGGGACTCTATTCATGTGGATTCCAACGGACAGCGGTGACGACGACTGTTCGCGCCGGCTTAGTGCGAGCGAGGTCTGGTTAATGCTGGACTCGCTCCTTGCGTCGCACGCGGTGATCTGCGAGGCCGGCGCAGTGGTCGCGCGAAAGGCGGAAGAGGAGTGGCGAGTGACACTCAACCTGGAGTATGCGGAGGTGGAGCGTGTACTCTACTGGGCGAGGCCGGCGGTGCGAAGTGGCGCAACGCGTTGAATGTCTGATGTAAGTATTACATGGCCAGTTTCACCCCCGCGCAGCTCGCAACATGTTCTCTACCGCGACTTTCCCGTGATCGCTCCAGATGTGCTCCAGTCCCCGTGTACCATCTTTGTCAACGACGCGGAACCAGCACCAATCCACCGGCTCCTCTGCAGCATAGTGCTCCGAAAAGTCATCGTAGACCGGGTCCGTGGGACACACTCTGTTTGACTGCTCCTGTGCATCGGAGAGAGAGAGGTACTGCAGACGCGGTAGAGCATTGGCGAGCGGTTGACAGATCGTCTGCAGTATTCTTGGCGCCTGTACCGGCCCAACTGGCTCGTTGTCGTCGTCGTCGTGCTTGTGCCTGCTGTTGTACGGCATGGTCACCCACAGCGCAAGGTGCTCCACCGGTAGAGGAGCCAGTGCGTTCGGCAGCCCCGTCTGCAGGACTCGTCAGCCCCGTCGACGCCCAGTGCGCACGCCACACGCTCACCAGCTCCCGCCACTCATCGTCGCGCGTCCACTGTTCCTTCTCTATCGTGAGCACGAGCGACCGCAGGCTCTGCCCCTCGCGCGCCAGCCGTGCCCACAGCGTTGCCCCGCCGAAACCGGCGTCACCGACGGTCACCGTCCACGCGAGCCGCACGGGCGCCGCCGCGCGCACCAGCGCGTACATCGCCTCCGAGAAGTCGGCCCCCTTTTCGCCATCGGCCCCACGCCCGAGCACGCCCTCGAAGCGCAGCGGGGTCGTCCGTACCGGGTATTTGCACCCCGTGCGTAAATTGAGCGAGGAGAGGTTGAGGACGTCGCAGCGAACGGCGCGCGCCACGGCGTACGGCAGGTCTTCGGCGGCGCGGACCCTGAGCGTGCGGAGGCGGGGCCAGGAGCGCGTTCTGGGGATGTCGGCGTGGTGCGTCAGGGTGCTGTCGATGCGGAAGATGTCGAGAGTGTCGAGGTTCGGGCAGCAGGCGACGAGCGTGTCCGCGCAGGGGATTCCGCTGTCGTCAATGTGCAGGTGGCGGATGGAGGGGAAGGTCGGCTGGGATGTGACGTCTTCTATGGACTCTCGCCCGGAAATGGAGAGGTCTTGGAGATGTGGGAGGAAAGATATGGCGCGGAGGAGGGGAGCAAGGGAGGAAGAGTCACTGAAGCAAAAAAATAACACCCTGATGCTAGGCGGAAGGAGGAGTCCCGACTCGAGCACTGCCCGATCTACCCAATTTTCAAGGTGAAGAACACGAAGTGAAGTTAGGGACCGTAGCGCAGCGTTGAGACTGGAGGAGTCCTTAGTGATGTGTGGGACTCCTCCCCGAATGAGCAGGACGCGGAGATTTGTCGCCGCAAGCAGTACGTCTCCGAGGAGATTTACTGCCTGCGTCTCTTCTTCAACTTCCCGATGATGCAGAGCAATGGAGAGATTTGTGAGGTCTCTTGCCCGTACTTCGCGACTACCTACAGTGTTTTCACCCAGCAGGTATCGATGTAGTCCGCGAAACCAAGTGACTCTGCCGCACCGTAAAGAAGCGGCAACCCGGTGGATCCCTAGATCGTGTGTTGCTTTCGAGGTAAGAGAAAATTTCAAAGCGTCGCTGCCGTCAAGGTATGAAAGGATGATGTGTAGGATGTCGTGATCCAGAACGGAGAGGTTCCCGACAATTCCACTTCTTTGTGTCATCTGCGAGGTCGTGATCATCTAAGCAGGCAGACTGTGGATTTGAATGAACAACTCACGGCTTGTGGGAGCATGAGGGTGTGTTTGGGAGATCAAAAGATGCGAAAGAGAATTGCCAGGGTTTGTATGGAGTCGGAGATGGGAGAGATGTACTCGTCCCTGCTCAGTACTAAGTGGTGACGTACGCGCGCGTTGCCCAGGAGGGACCCCAGGAGGAGCCAGAGTGGTAGGGGTCCCCGTCCCCATTCGCAGGGACCGGGGGATGAAGGATACTCGTGAATGTAAACCACGACTCATGCGGACCGCAATATGCATTAGTGCACGCACAAGTAGCTATTAGCTACAGTGATAACCCACGGTACTTGAATTCATTGGGCTGCTCATGATACATCGCGCAGACCTAAGAGCTCCGCCACTTCCCGCTCTCCGTCTTCAGCCCATATCTTCTCAATCTCCCGCACGCCCTCTCTATCCGTGATCCGGAACCAACAATATAGGAGCGCAGAGAGAACCGCCTCCTCAAAGTACGGGTCCGCGTCCGGAAGAACGGGTGACTCCGCGTCGGCGACGGCGAGGTACCGCAGGTGCGGCAACGCATCGACGAGCGGCCGGCACAGCGTCCTGAGCGAGCTCGGGGCCATGTGCGGCTCATCGCCCGCGTCTTCCTCGTCCGCGCCGTCGCTGGCCTCGCCTTGCGCACACGGCGGCACCCACAGCGCAAGGTGCTCAAGCCGCAGCGGCGACAACGCGGCCGGCAAGTCCATCTGGCAAGTCCGCGAGCATCAGCAGGACCGCCCGCGCGACAAAGCCGCCCCGCACTCACCAGCGCGCCATCCTCCCACCGCTGCGCGAAGCCATCCTCAGGGATGCGCGAGACCGTGAGCGAGAGCGAGCGGATGCCCGGCGCCGCCTCCGCGACGCGCGCCCACAGCGTCGCACCCACGAGCCCGCCGCCTCCGACGCCCACGCAGAGCTCGAGCCGCACGGGCGCCGTCGAGCGGAGGAGGTCCAACATGCGGTCGATCGCATCGGCCAACGGATCTTGCGACATGACAATGGCCATGAACCACGGTGGGTATTGGCCGGCGGGCGCGGCGCCGTGGCAGCCAACGCGGAGGTCGTCCAGGAAAAGGCAAAGGGTGTCGCAGGGCGTGGCGCAGTGTGCGAGTGGATACAGGTCATCGAGTTGGCGGACCGTCAGCGAGCGGAGCGAACGGGTCCAGCGGGACCAGGGCAGAGTCCGCCGCGAGAGCGCATGGGTCAACTGTCCACCTCCAAGGAAGCCGGCGTCGAGGGTGGCCAGGTTGGGGCATTGCGCAATGAGCATGTCCGCGGTCTGGTCGTGGCATTGGTGGAGGCGGACATGACGAATAGAAGGGAGGATGGGAAACGCTGAGCTACCGAGGACCGTGACGGGTCTATTATATGTGGACAGGCGGAGGGTGTGAAGATGAGGAAGAAACGACAAGGCTTGTAGCAGAGTGGGAAGTCCTGGCACGGTTCGGGAGTGGGATTCGTAAGCCAACAAAAGCTCCCTGATGGTGTTCGGTAAGGGAGACATGTTTGCGAGCGATGCGTCGTTGATGCGTAAGAGACAGGTAGCACGAAGAGACTGCAGCGATTTGATGGCAGTTTCAATACGGGTGTCAACTTTGATGATTTCACTGAAGCCTTCGATAGAGAGCTCACGAAGGCGGGGTGCAGCAAGAAGGATGTCGGCAACAAGACGCGCCTCGGAGAAGTTCCAAAAAGATGCCCCGATGTCGCATAAAGCGAACGGCTCGGGGTCAGGGTCAGGGTCCCGGTCCTCAAACGTGGAGTCTATCACTGTCAGGACCTCCAGGTATTGCGCTCGAACTTGTCCATGATCTGTGTGTCCTAGCATATAGCGATGGAGCGCGCGGAGCTCCGCCGGACTGCTGCATTCGGCGGTGGCAGCGACGCGGACGATCGTCTGATCGTAGAAAGCCTTCGAGGCGAGCGAGGTGTTGAGTGCGTCTTGGCCGTCGAGATGTAGCACTATGAGGCGAAGGACATCTTCGCTCAACTTCGCCAGGGTTAATCGCGCCCCTGGTATCCGGCCGGACGTCGTGTCGCAGGGCCGGAGCTGGTAATTAGTTCAGGACATATCAGGCGCTGTGGAGTAGCAGCCGACTTACCTCCATTGCATTGCAAGTGCGTGCGAAAGCGGCGGCGAGCCCAAGGGCTGTTAGAGGACGAGTGTGGCTTGCTCTTATATGGAGAGAGCCGGAAGGGCCTAAGCTCCGGCGCTCTGATAACAAAGAAGGAACACCCAAAGAACGGCGAGAACGCGCCGTGATCAAATTTACGCAAGCTTCTGCAGGTGCTGGTACTTCGACGCGCTTGCAATGGCAACTGACTCGGTGGCGGACGTCACGCGGCATTGCCGACCGACGTGCTAGACCGCTTGAGAATGCACTGCGTCGGCGGGGGAGAAAGCGTCCTCACACTCAACTCGTACACAACCTCCGAGGGGTAGCAGGGGTATAATTTCGTTGCAATAACTGGCTAGGACTGAGATAGTGCATCGTAGAGGCTACATAGCACAGAGCTTCGAAGAATCATCAGCCTCAAGACGTTACCGAAGGGGGAAGATTCTCACCATTGTAGTTTACTTGAACGCGCGGCGCACACAGTCCGCAAAGTCCGCAAAATGTCGTGGCTCATGGGGATGCAATTGGCGTGTAAGCTGGAGGAGCGTCGTTCACTTGGGATGGCGGCGGCGGCGAAGCGGCGCCCGGAGTTGAGCGCCGTGGTGGGGGAGCGGGGCTTGGAGGAGATTGTGACAGTGGGGGAACGTCAGGAAAAGCCTCTGCCGCCACGCTCGCGATGTGCGAGAGTCTGTCCGCAGGAGAAAAGGCGTCCTCGGAGTTGCGCCGAGGCGAAGGCGAGGTGACGACCGGAGGGGCGTAGAGGGCGGGCGAGTGCGAGCTGGAGGGTGGGTGTGCGCTGCCCCTCGCCGGGCTCTCGGCGCCGTCGTCCTGGGAAAGCGAGGACCCTCAGGCTCGCAAGTCGCTCCTTCGATAAGATGACACTCACGTTCGCATAGTGCGCCTCATGCTGCCGCTGCAGCTCCCGGATCTGGCGACAAGTCGCGCAGTCGTCCTCGTGCGTTCGGGCGTGCTGCCCGTCCTCTCCCGCTGCCCCAATCCCATGTACGTGAGGGTGTGCTCCCGCGCGCACCGCCAGCGACGGGACGCCAGTGTGTCTTGCCTGCGGCGCATTCGCCATAGGAGGCCGGGTGACGGATACCGGGATGGGCATGTACCCGTTGGCGCTGACCCGACTGAACCCCGTCGCCCCGTTCGCGTACGGGCTTGAGGCTGGCTGCGCGACGGATACTCTCCCTGGCGCCGCTGGTGTCTCCTGGTCGGCGCGTTTGCCGGCACCGTCGATGTCCTCCTGGCCGCCGCCGCGCGCACGCGCCCTACCCCGTTGTGGCACGTGCGCGAGAGTTTGCGCGCACGGCGCAACTGATGAGTATCCCGAGCAAAGCGATCCCGAGTACGCCGCCGACGATTCCAAGGATGATGCCGAAAGAGGGTCTATGTGGGAAGCCATTTCGCCGGACGAAGGTCGTAGTGATTGTAGGCATCGGGGAGGGCTCGGGGCAAGCAAGGCAGGCGACGGGGCGGGTAGGAGCGTGTCATGCGCGGGGAAAATCGTCCTCCTTTTGTGGCTCGTCGAGTTCCCACCGAGATTGCGAGGGCTGGATTTTGACATTTCCGGTGAGAGGCTGTGTCGAGCCTTCAATTAGGACAGCTGTGCCTTGGGCTAGGCTGTGTGCGCCATGGTCGGCATGGGGCTCAGCGGCTTCTATCAAGAATGGCCGAGCCTTGTGATCCCTTCTGCCAGGAGTGACATCGCTACTCGAGCTTCGACTTTTGAGGCGATGTGAGCACACATTCATTGATAAGAACGAAATTTTTACGCAAAATGACTCACCGGAAACGGAGGACGGTACCAAAAGCATTCCGCCCCAAGTTCGGGGGGAGCAGAGTAAAAACGTCCATACACGCAACCCGTTTGCAGCTCGCGCGAGGCATCTGGTTGTGCTTTCGATGCGGGGGTACTACTTGAGAATCATTGCGGCTATGGGCGGCCGTTGCGGGCTGCCCAGCAGTCTGAACTCCGGATAGTCTAGAAATATAAGAGGTCCAAAACGTAGGCCCTCCTCATCTTATTGACGAAGTAAGGTGGTGGGAGGGCGCGCGGCGAGTCAGCCCGATGAGTAGCGCGCATACCTTCGAACTCGGGCTGCGTTTGAAGTACGCGAGTGTTTATTGGATCCCCGAATTGATCTTGAGGGTGACAGGTGCAGTGCATCCGCCAATGTACAAGGAACTAGGTCTGAGATCTGAGACACGACCTGCATGCGTCGTCAGTCACGAGTACCAAGTAAGTGGAGGCTATATACGATATGATTGTGAGAAAAGGAACACCGAAATAACGTCCAAATGGCCTTCACACCAAAGCGCGATTCGAGTTCGCCAACAAATACGTCCATGTCTCTCTCACCGACGTTCTCTCGGTCATCACGCCCACAACCCCATGCCACTCACCCTCGATAGGTTCCAGCTCGTCCTCCAACGCGACCCCGCCTGACGGATCTCTCCCTCACCAAAATGTGTGAATCGTCCATCTCGGCTCTGAACGCACACCCTCCCCACACGCTCTGCCAGTCCCGTTCGTCTGTGCGCAGAAGTCCCAACCCAACTGTGCAACTTCCCTATCCCGCACGCGCTCCGCCGGGCCTAGTACGTCCCCTCTGGAGCCACTGGCCAACCTCTCGTCGCTACGGTCGCTCCGGTGCCTCACCCTGTCGTCCGTGTCCGACATCGCACTGGACGTTGTGGAGCGCCGTGAGGGCTACTGTCGTTGGTAGCGGTGAGATCAGGGGAGCGCGATGGGACGAAAAAATAGGAGACCGGCGGCGGGCACTACACTGCGGTGCGCGTCCTGGGAGAAAACATCGAGTCCACGACCGAGCCCGCGGACACGGACGCCGACTCGACGGTTGTGCTGATGGGGGCGACGTCTTCCAACACATGCGAGGAAAAGTCGTGCGGAGAGTGTGAATCGGATGCGCTCACCTGGCCGAACCCCTGCCTCCATCTGGCCGCCATCCCGAGGGTGCAACCCGCTCGCCGCCCGATATGTTACGCGTGACATCGCCAGAAGCGCTTCATGTCTCCGTGAAATCGAGCCGGACGCCTAGGTGCTGGGTCGTTCGCGGAATCGTTCATGCAGGAGGTTGCCCGGGACTGGATATCACCTAGACAACAACATCTTGAGAATAGAGGGAAGAGGAGGGCTCTGGACTGGTACGTACTATTCTCAGAGACAACCTCAGATGCTCTGAACGCGTCTCCGGCGCGATCTTCTCAACATGTTCGCATGGCTCCCCTGGAACGCGTCCATGCTGTATGTAGTGCCCGGGCGCGTTTCCGGGAGACCCCGGAATTCTACCTCCACACCGAGATCGAGAAAGTGCCGCTTGCCGACGCAAGAGCAGACGAGGTGAATAGTGTAGCGTGTCTGGAGATGCTGCCGCAGGTTTCGGCGGACAAAACAGTGGCGGATTTGAGGATGCGTCAGGATTCGCGTATTCCGGGATAAGCAGGTCGGTGTTGAGGCTGCCAGAGGCAATGGAGACGGGAAACAGATGGGATGAAGATGGTAGAAGTGTGAAAGCGCTCCTGCTGCTTTGGGCGTCAATAATCAAGCTGGTAAGCGCACCGCTTCTTATTAGCGTACTAGTCCAATACTAATCGTAATAGTAGACCTTATCTTCATGTTATGGCAAGCTGTACACATCTCACTATAATTTGGCTTGCACGCCGCAACGCCCGTACGTAGACTCGAATGTAGCTCCGCCCTGGTAGTCAGAATACCCTTTCCTCTTTCTCAAACAACACTGAACGTTTTGGGGCGCTCTCCACGCACGCGCGTCGACAGCGCAGTTGCGGAGGAAGGTTGCGCTTGAGACAGTGTGCTCCCCGCTTACTCCCCCATGTATCGGCACTTCTCCGAATAGATGCCTACGGGAACGCAAGTCAGCCGTTGCCAGATAAGACCAGAACCCAACCCATCTTCTCACCGTCAAGATCGGACGCACAAAACGCCTCGTTCTGCACCAGCCGCAGCGCCCGCTCCCCGTCCTCGCGCCAGAGCTCGACCAGCGACCGCGCCACCGCGTCGTCGCCGGAGCCGCGCTCGACGCGCCACCACCGCGTCGATCGTACGCCCTCCAACCGGCCCCACCCATCCGATACGCCTACGACACGCAGTGTGGGAACGGCTTCAGCGAGCTCCCTGGGGAACGCGGCGAGCGCGCGGAGGCGTAGGAGATCCGCGTCCCCCTTCCGTTCCAACAATTCGGGGTCCGCCTTGAGATGAACACAGACGAGCGGGAGCTGGGCGAGCTCCGCCACGAGCGCGTCCTGGAGCGTGGAAGGCGTCCGGTGAGCAAGGACCGTGTTCGAACAAGAGCGCGACGTACCGGGGGCGCCCATAACTGCGGCCCCTCGCCATCGGGGTGGCTGTCGTCGACTGAGTTCACATCGAGCACGAGCGCGCGCAGGTGCGGGGCGGCTGCGGCGACCTCTTGCCAGAGGGTTCCCGTGCGATCAGACAGCTTGGCATGCCATGTTGCTGATATCTCCAGGTAGAGGGAGTACGGCTTTAGCACGTCGAAGATGCGCGTGAATCGGGAATGTGTGGTCGAGATACCATCCTGGGTGAAATTCCAGACCATGGGGAATCGAACGTGTGTTGCGCGCAAGGCTTGCTGTTCCAGCAACGAGACTATGAGGTTTCTGGCATGCATGTGCAGAATCGTGAGGGTGAGTCGAGGGATCGGCGAGGGCCCGCGCCATCTCGGTCGGGATTCGAGAGCGCCCGTTTTGTGCGGATGATAGAGACTAAGTCTCAGGGAGGTGACGTTGGGACAGAGATAAATGAGATCTGTCGCTGCGAGCCCGGTGACATTGAAGGTGAGATCCTGGATGGAGGTGAATAGCGGGTAGTTGGCGATGTCGATGGTGGCCGGCTTAAAGCGCTCTAGAATCAGAGCATACAGACGAGGGAAGGATCTGATTACGGAGATGAGGGAGGGGAGGTCGTCGCAAGCGTGTGTTCTCCCTTTATAGCCTAGACAGAGGCTCGTGAGATTGGGAGAGGGGATGTTTTGGATCGTCGGCAGCATGTTGTCCTCGACCGAATCGCAGAGAGTTTCCGGAGCTCGCGCAGGCCTGCGAGAGCCATAGAAAGACGCGGGTTGTCATTGGGGAGAGCCAGATAGCACATCTCGAGGGAAATGATGTTCTCGGTTGCAAACAAGACGTCGGGGAGCGTTGGTACGCTGTCGAAGTCGACATAGATCGCCATCTTACGGACATAATGAGCGTTGGTGCCGATATTCTCATGCCACCAGGAGACGAAGAAGGTATAGCTATCGAAAGGACTGTCCAGAGTCTTGGAGAGGAGATCGTATGGAAGTTTTTGCAAGTGAGGGACAAGGTGCAGAGAGTTCGCTTTGCGAGATAGGAGAGGATGAGGAGGAGAATATCGTCGTTGAGACGATCGATGATGAGCGCGGCCATGGCGGGAACCTTGGAAGGGATAGATTACCACGTAAACATGGATAATAACCGCAAGATGGAACTTGCCTGGAGCGAAAAGGCGTCGAAGGGGCTTTGGCGAGTGAACGTATGCGAAGTGCCTGGATGGTCTGTTACCTGTGTACTCCGTGCGTTGTGGTGGTATGTGGCGAACAGGAGACAGCGCCTCCGTCGGACAGCTTCAAAGCGCCTGTGTCGCGGCCCGCGTCACCGGGTCTTGTCACGGACGCGTATGGTCACGGACAGACGTCCCTTCGACTTGACCTCGACCAGTGATCATTGTCTCCGCCGCCATCCTGACCACCATTCTGACCACCTCCATCTTGTTTGACGCTGTCCATCTCGTCACCACCGTCGTCTACGACCGCTAGCTACGAGTACCCGCAAACCCCTCGCAGGAGTGGTCAACGCGGAGCGGGACAGCCAGGCCTTGCTGTCTCCACATGGGTACCAACATCCCACTCCGACGTCGTCCACTCCATCCATCTATATTCTCGCCCCGCTTGCCCTCTCGGCTATTGAAGACGCAGAAGAGCTCGCCTTGGAGAACTGCAAAGCCCACTTCTACCCCACATTCTCCCGCCAGACCACCCGCCGTGCCAATACAAGAACGTACGGCAACGCAAGCCTCCCCAAGGACACCAGTGGCGATAACGATGCAATATTCAGCGTAGGCGACACCGTGCTCGTGAAGACGATCGGCAAATATCCATACCCTAGCGTTGGAGTCATTGCGGCTGTATAGAATGCCGAGGGCGACGGATTCCACCCCCGCGCGTACGTATCCATCGGTTCTGTCGTCGACGAGAACTTCCTCCCCATCGTGCGAAGAGATAGTTCTGCGAGGTGCGTCGTTCTCTCGTTTCTCTGCACAGCCCATGGCCGATGCATCCTCCAGAACGAAGTGCTACCATGCCCTCATCCGCGGTCATCTCCCGCTGCACCGTCTCCTCCTTTTCCTCTGCATTGATCAAAGAGCCCGTGGACGATGCGGTGAACGATTTCTTCTGCCATCTCGCCGTCAACACCGCCTCGGGTCTTTACTACGAACACCATCGGGAAGGCTTCCATGAGGCTGCGATGCAGACCAGCTCTGATATGTGGCCGAATGACGACGCGTGGACCGTCAGTCCGGCGCCGGAACCTCTGCACCGCGGCAAGGACGATGGACCTCGCCGCAAACTGCGGTCACCCTCGCAAGCGTTGTCGCCTCGCACCACCCGAGCCCGACGTCGAGTCTGAGGCGTCGAACTCCGAAGACGACTTCCATGGTTCCCAAGCCCCCTCTTCCTCCTCTACCGACGAAGGGGACGAAGACGACGTCTCCGACGAATACCGCGCTCCGCGGACGCCCTCGCGTCGGAAACACGGCGCGGCCCCGCGCACCGCTCGCACGCCAAGCGGGCTGAGGTTCAGACGGACATTTCTGGAGTCCCGGGGACTGGGAAGACTGCCACGGTGCATGCAGTAGTGAGGGAACCGAAGCGGATGGCTGAGAGTAATGTGAGTACGTGATTTGGTGGGGGCTTTGAACGAGCCCTGATGTGCGCGTCTAGGAAGCCAATCCGTTCTCATACGTCGAGATCAACGGCCTGAAGATACCTGAGCCGGCGGCCGCGTATGGTCTGCTCTGGGAGGCGGTTTATGGTCATGATACGGCGAAAAAGGGACACATGAAGATTGGGTCGAAGGAGGCTCTGCGACACCTCTCGCGGCATTTTATGAGCGGACATCGGGTCGGACCGTCTGGCGGGCACGCATAGTGAGCGTATTTGAACTTGTTCAGTGACCACCACGTTAACCTATTCATAGCGTCGTCCTGATGGACGAATTAGACCAACTGACGGCGAAGCAGGACGTGGGGTATAACTTTTTCAACTGGCCGACCCTCGCCGGGTCGAAACTGGTGGTGCTCGCCGTCGCCAACACCATGGACCTGCCTGAACGCGTGATGACGGGCCGTGTTCGCAGTCGTCTCGGTACGTCTTCCTTGCGCTGCCCGTTCTCACTTCTCTTACGCCCGTACAGGCATGATCCGCATCGACGTCCAGCCCTACACGACTCCCCAAATGGAACAGATCGTCAAAGCGTGGCTGGCGGCGGCGTCCCTCCACGCCGGCACACCCGTAGTGCTCGCCCCGGACGCGGTCAAGTTCGCGTCGATGAAGGTGGCGTCGATCAGCGGGGACGCGCGGCGGGTGCTGGACATCTACCGTCGGGCGGTGGAACTGGGGTGACCGGCACGGCGCACGGTGCGGACGGAGGACGTGAAGGAGGCGATCAAGTGGATGCAGAACTCGCCGACGGCGGCGTACCTGTGCGGGCTCGGGTTCCACGAGCGGGTGATGCTCGCCGCGCTGGTCAAGTGCGTGCGGAAGGAGGGCGTGGAGGAGATCCAGTGGGGAGTGGTACGTAGTCTCGTTTACGCCGCTGTGTACTTTATTCATGTAGGTTCCAGCTGCAGCGCCAGCACACGCTCTTGCAGAATTTGCTCGCGACGGACAGTGTGACGACGACTGTTTGGGCCGTCTTGGTGCGAGCGAGTTCTGGTTGGTGCTGGGCTCGCTCCTCGCGTCTCACGCGGTGATCTGCGAGGCCGGCGCAGTGGTCGCGCGAAAGGCGGAAGAGGAGCGGCGAGTGGCACTCAACCTGGGGTATGCGGAGGTGGAGCGCGTGCTGGGCGAGGTCGGCGGTGCGAAGTGGCGCAACGTGTTGAATGTCTGATTTACGTATTACATGGCCTGTTTCACTCCCGTACAGCTCGCAACATGTTCTCTACCGCGGCTTCGCCGTGGTCGCTCCAGATGTGCTCCAGTGCCCGTGTACCATCTTTGTTAACGACGCGGAACCAGCACCAATGCAGCGGCTCCTTGGTAGCATGATGCTCCGAAAAGTAGTCGTAGACCGGGTCTTTGGGACACTCTTCTGAACGCCCGTATGCATCGGAGAGAGAGAGGTACTGCAGACGTGGTAGAGCACTGGCAAGCGGCAGACAGATCGCCCCCAGGATTCTTGGGGAGTGGGTCGGCCCAACTGGCTCGTCGTCGTCGTCGCCGCCGTGCTTGCGCCTGTTATTGTACCAAGTGGGCACCCACAGTGCGAGGTGCTCCACCGGTAAAGGGGCTAATGCGTTTGGCAGCCCCGTCTGCAGGACCCGTCAGCCCAGTGGACGCCCAGTGGGCACGCCACAAACTCACCAGCACCCGCCACTCGTCGTCGCGCTCCCAATGTTCCTTCTCTATCTTGAGCACGAGCGTAGTAGGATGCGTTTGGGAGGTCAAAAGATGCGAGAGAGAATTGCCAGCTGGGTTTGTGCGGAGTCTTCACACAAGAGACCGGAGAGAGATCTAAGAGAGAGGAATGAGTCGCATGCTCGTATGGCAGTGGTGACGTTGCCCAGGACGGACCCTGGAAAAAGCCAGAGTGGTAGGTGTCCTCAGCGCTCAGCCCCGGCGTTTCAAAGCGCTCGACGTCGATGCGAGCGGGGAGGGGATGAAGGATCTCCGTGAATGTAAACGACGGCCTGTGCGCATGCCAAAGATGGGCCAACACACGGTACTTGACATTTTTCGGCTACTCATGATACATCGCGCAGACCCAACTGCTCCGCCACTTCCCGTTCTGCGTCTGCAGTCCACATCTTCTTGCATAATCTCCCGCACGCCCTCTCTGTCCGTTGTCCGGAACCACCAATATCGGGGCGCGGAGAGAACCGCCTCCTCGAAGTACGAGCCCGAGTCCGGACAAACGGGTGCCTCCGCGTCGGCGAGGGCGAGGTACCGCAGGCGCGGCAACGCATGGGCCCCGAGCGGCCGGCACGCTCCCGGTCCATCTCCAGCCTCCTCCGCGTCCCCGCCGTCGCTGGTCTCGCCATGTGCATGCGGCACCCACAGCGCAAGGTGCTCAAGCCGCAGCGGCGACAACGCGGCCGGCAAGTCCATCCGGCACGTCCGCGAGCATCAGCAGGACCGCGCGCGCGACAAAACCGCCCCACACTCACCAGCGCAGTCCTCCCACCGCTGCGCGAAGCCGTCCTCAGGGGTGCGCGAGAGAGTGAGCGAGAGGAAGCGGATTCCCGACGCCGCCTCCGCGACACACGCCCGCAGCGTCGCACCCGCGAGCCCGCCGCCTCCGACGCGCAATGTGTGCTCGAGCCGCACGGGCGCGTTCGAGCGGGAAGTCATATAGGCGGTCCATCGCGTCGGGAAATGAGCGATAGAACACGGGCGGGAGCGGGGATGGCGACGTACCGATGTTATCGACCCGCCGGAGGGCAGGCGCGTCACAGCCGACGCGGAGGTCGTCCAGAAAGTGACGCAGGGCGCGAGTCGGTACAGGTCGGCGATGCGGCGGACCGTCAGCGAGCAGAGAGAACGGGTCCAGCGGGGCCAGGGCACAGTCTGTCGATTGCGGGGGCATCGGTGATACGCACCTAGCTCCGCTGAGCGCGTATACTGTATGTCCGGCGCTCGTTATGTCCTCATCCGCGCATTACCATCCCGACCACCTCCGCTGTTACTGTTGCTACATTGCTTACATATGCACTAGTATATCTACCGTAGCTCGCCGTCGTCGCAATACAGCTTCTCTCGTCCGGTTTGGTGCCGGAGAGCGTCGTCTCACCCCAGTTTCCGTCTGCAGTCGCGTCTCCGTCTCGTTCTCGTTCTCGTTGTCTTGTCCACGCCCACGCCCTCTCTCCCGCCTCTCTCTCCCTTCTCGGTGTTTCCCACTGGCGATCCTCACCCACTCGCACACCGTAGCGCGACTCCCGGGTTGCCCTGCACATCATCGGAACTACTTGGATCAAATCGCGATCCCTAGTTTGACGTCGAGGGTGGCCAGGTCGGGACACTGCGCGGCGAGCATGTCCGCGGTCCGGTCCGCATGGCAGTGGTGGAGGCGGACATGACGAATGGCAGGGAGGAAGGGCAACGTTTAGCTGCCGAGGACCGTATCGGGTTCGTACTCGGACAAGCGGAAGGTGTGAAGATGAGGAAGGGACGATAAGGCTTGTAGCAGAGTGGGAAGGCTTGGTGCAGGTTCGGGCGGGAGTCGTAACGCAACAAGCCTTGAGCGAGCCGCCGGAGGTGCCCAAACTCTGGCGCTCTGATAACACCCAAAGAAAAGCGAGAATGCGCCGTGATCATTGAATGTCGGCAAGCTTCTGCAGCTGCCGTTACTTCGATGCGCTTGCAATGGTAATCAAATCGGCGCTGCTTGAAAATGGACTGCATCGGCGGCGGCGAAAACGCACTCACACTCACAAGACGCATCTCGTACCACACGCCCTCGGAGTAATAGGGGTATAATGTCGTTGCAAAAACATAGTGCATCGAGCCTACATAGCACAGAGCTTCAAGGAATCATCAGCCTTAACACGTTACTAAAGGGGGGAAATTCTCACTATCGTAGTTTACTTGAACGAGCGGCGCACACAGTGCGCAAATTCCACAAGGTGTCCATGAAGGCCTTCCCCGTGTTGTGGCTCATGGGGATGCAATTGGCGTGTAAGCTGGAGGAGCGTCGTTCCCTTGGAATGGCGGCGGCGGCGAAACGGCGCCCGAAGTTGAACGCCGCGGTGGGGGAGCGGCGCTGGGAGGAGATTGTAGCAGCGGGGGAACGTCAGGAAAAGCCTCCGCCGCCACGCTTGCGATGTGCGAGAGTCTGTCTGCAGGAGAAAAAGCGCCCTCGGAGTCGCGTCGAGGCGACGGCGAAGCAACGACCGGGGGACCGTCAAGGTCGGGCGAGTGCCAGTTGGAGCGCGCGTGTACGCTGCCACTCGGGCTCTCGATGCCGCCGTCCTGGAAGAGTGAGGACCCTCAGACTCGCAAGTCGTCTCTCAGATAAGACGATCGACACTCACGTTTGTATGGCGCGTCTCATGCTGCCGCTGCAGCTCCCGGATCTGGCGACAAGTCGCGCAGTCGTCCTCGTGCGTTCGGGCGTGCTGCCCATCCTCTCCCACTCCCCCAATTCCCGCCCCCGTCCCATGTACGTGAGGGTGTGCTCCCGCGTGCACCGTTAGCGACGGGACGCCCGTGTGTCTTGCCTGCGACGCATTCGCCATTGGGGGCCGGGTGACGGATACCGGAATAGGCACATGATACCAGTTGGTGCTGGCCTGAGACCCCGTCGTCGCATTCGGGTTCGCGCTTGAGTTTTGCGGCGCGATGAGTACTATCGCTGGCGCCGCTGATGTTCTCCTGGTCAACACGTTCGCCGGCGCCGTTGATGTCCTCCTGGTCGCCGCGGCCTGCGCGCGTGCTAGCTCCGCTGCGGTACGTGCGCGAGAGCTTTCGCGAACGCCCCATTTGAAAAGCATCCCGAGCAAAGAAATCCCGATTAGACCGCCGATGATGCCGAGGGTGTAGCGGAGAGAGGGCACATTGGAGAAGATATCCCGCCGGACAAAGGTCGTAGTCATTGCGGGCATGGGGAGGTGAGGGGCATCCGCCCTGGAGGGCTCAAGGCAAGCAAGGTAGGCGACGGGGCAGGTGGGAGCGTGTCATGCGCGGAGAAAGGCGTCCTCCTTTTGTGGACACCAGAGGCCCGTCGAGTTCCCGTGCCCGCCGAGGGCTGGATTTCGGTACTGTGCCTTGGGCTGGGTGGGCACTGGGCTATGTGGTCGGCAAGGGGCTGGCGGCTTCTATCTAGAGTCATCGAGCCTTCTGACCCCTTCAGCTGGCAGGTGGGATCACTTCTGAGCTTCAACTTTTGAGGCGGTGTATGCACCCGTTTATTGATACGAAGTTGGTTTTGACGCAAAATGATCCACCGGAAACGGAGAACGGTAGCAAGCGCACTCTGTTCCAGGTTCGGGGAGCAAAGTGAGTTCCATACGCACAACCTACGTGCGGATCATGTGAGGCATTTCGTAGTGCGGGGATACTTGAGGAGGCTCATTGCGGCTGTGGGTGGTCTGCAGCTCCGAATGATTGAGATATACAAGAGGCCTAAACGTAATCGATTAATCCCCGCCCACCTTGTCGTGTCATTGGCGTTCAAAGAAGAGCTTGGCGAAGTCGGAGAAGTACGGCGGTGTGAGGGCGCGCGGGTGCTTATTGGATCCCAGAAATAATCTTGACAGTGACATGTGACATGTGCCGTGCATGCACTGTCAGTGCTACGAGTACAAGGGACGAGGTCTGCGATGTCATGATCCACGCGTGGTCAGTCACAGCGTACCATAAGAGCGGAGGCTATGTGTATGGCTGTGAGAAAGAGGCAGCAACCAACGCTGAAGCAGCGTCCAAAGAGATCCAGACGACACAGTTCTGAACATGACAAATGTCCGTAATGCAACTCGACCGTTTAGATATCTCTATCTATCAGCACACTGTGTCTCCTTCACACACTCCCGCGACTCTCTACAAGCTTCTCGCGATCCGTACTCCGATGCCACGAGCCCGGCCACTGTGTATCTCTTGGGAAGCCCTCCACAACCGCCTTATGCCGCATCGGCCCCGCACTGAACATGCGCTCGGACGCAGAGACGCGATTTGCGTTCGCCGACGTCTCTCCCATCGCCGACCTCCTCCGCCACGCCCACAGCCTCGCGTCACTCACCCGCGATCGCTTCCAGCCCGTCCTCCAACGCGACCCCTGCCTCGCAGACGCTCTCGTGAGCCCCGCCCGCCTAACGAGCCTCCATCACCACAATGGACGACTCAGCCCCGAAGCTCAGCGCTGGACGGACTCCCCTTCCCACACGCCCCGCCAGCTCTCGCCCGCCCACGCGCACCATCCCTGCCTCCCCCGGGACGCCGAAGTTCCCACGCAACTGTACGATTTCATAGGCCACCTCCCGCGCGAGCCTGTTCCGCAGGGCTTGCGTCTCCTCTTGGAGACACGAGCCGGCCCCCCATCGCTCACGACGCTGGCGCTCCGCAAACTCGCGCCGCGGTATCCCCTCTCCGAGGCACACACATTGCACTGGAGGTTGTGGAGCGCTGCGAGGGGCTGCTGTCGCTGGTACCGGTAGCGGTGGGGACGGGGAGAGTGCAATGGGACGAAGGAGGACAGCGGTGAGCACCACTCCGCAGGCTGGTTGTTTCCCAGCCGGAGGAGGTCATGCGCATCGCCTGGCTTTTGTGCGCGTCCTGAGCGCGAGCACGTTCGATACGCACTAGGGGATGGACATTGCGGGAGAGGGAGAAGGGGAGGAAACCATCGAGTCAAGGACCGAGCCCTCACACGGACGCTGACTCGATGGTTTCGCCAACGGAGATCTCTTCCTACCCGAGCGAGGACAAGTTGTGCAGAGTGCGAGTCGGAAGTGCTCACCTTGGCGTACCTCTACCACACCTGAGGCCGCAACTCGCCCGCAGCTTGATTTGTTGCGCGTGGTGTCTCCAGACGCGCTCGTTAACATCGACCCGACCGCGCTGGGTGGCGGGTTTTTCGCGGAAACGTTGATACAGGGGTTGCATGACGCACCACGCCTGGGATGCCTGAACGTCTATCTCAACATTGATGTCTTCGTGGACGGTGGGGGAAATGTGGGCCCTGAACGGATGCATACCATTCTCAGTGACCACTCCCGGTGCCCTCCAGCGCGATCCTGTCGACATGCCCCTCGAACGCATCCATGTTGTCGTGCTTACCATACCCCGGGTGCTTTCTTGGAAGCCCCGGAGATCTACCTCGATACCGACATGGAGAAGTTGATGCGTACCGACGCAAGAGCAGACGGGGTGAATGGGATAACATGTCTGAAGATGCTGGATGGCGGATTTGAGGGGGTGATCGGTTGCGGATTTCGCGCCGAGCAGGTGGTGTTGGGACTGCCAGTGACGCGCAAGTGAGAGAGACACCAGAGGTGGAAGGTGCTGTAGATGGTGAAAAATCAAATCATCACAGAGGCGATGGAAGCGGGAGACGGATGAACGAGAGGCTCGGCGCTCTTGCTGATTTGCGCGCCAATCTTCGTCAGCTACTCAACGTCGACGTCCATGTCGACGTCAACAACAATACTTCCTAGCGGGCCCCCTGCTCGAAGCGACAAGCCTTCAAGTCTGTTTTTCCCCAAAGACTCCTTTGTGGCCTAGAACAACCATGCATCCCTCAGCGACCATCCCACTATGATTGGGCTTCCACGCCGCAACGCCCGTAAGCAGGGCGGCCTTCTCGAGCGCGTCCTTCTGTGGATGTGCTCGTGAAGGTCCTCGCCAACTCCTCGCCGAATAATAGTACATATACTGAGCGGCTACTAATCTAATCTACACCGACGTTGGCGCCGAGACAAGCCGCGGCGCTGCCTCCTGTTGCCCCTACGTCACGTACCACCACGACGGGGTAAACAGGAGTCCACAAGCAACATCTGTATGTTCAGGGCAAGTGCTATCTTGCGGTTATTACTCATTCCAGCGTGCTAATTTATCCCTTTCCAGGTTCCCTCTATGGCACTCATCTTCGACCGTCTCAACGACGATATTTTCCTCATCATCCTCTCCTATCTCCAGAGGCGAGACCTGTCCGCCTTGTCGCTCACCTGCAAACATTTCCATAAGCTTTCCTCTCCAAGACGCTGGACCGCTCTTGCGACACATAAGGCTTTATATGTCTCCTGGTGGCATGATAATATCGGCACCAACGCTCGTTATGTCCGTGAGATACTGGTTGTTGTCAACGAAAGGGCTCCTATGCTCCCCGATGTCTTGTTCGCAACCAAGAACATCCGTGCACTTCATATGTTCCATTTTTCTCACCTCTCTTGCGATCCCCGTCTTTCTGTGGCCCTCGCAGGACTGCGCGAACTCCGGACACTCTCTTGCCATTGGGTCCGGGACACAATACTGCCGACGATCCAAAGCATCCCCTCTTTAAATCTCACATACCTTTGTCTAGGCTTTGAAGGGGGTCCAAGCGTTTCCGGCGATCTCCTCTCCCTCCTCTCCGCCATCAAATCCTTTCCTCGCCTGTATGTTCTCATTCTAAAGCACTTCACGCCGACCACTGCTGTCGACATTGCTTGCCACCCGTCATTCCCCTCCATCCAACAGCTCACCCTCCACGACGTGACGGAGCCTGCTACGGATCTTTTTTATCTCTGTCCCAACGTCACCTCCCTGAGACTCGGTCTCAACGTTTTCCATCAAGCTCACGAATCTCGACCGAGATGGCGTTCCTCACCGATCCCTCGACTCACCCTCACGGCTCTCCGCATGGAGGCAAGAGACTTCATGGTCTCGTTTCTGGAGCAACGACCCATGCGCGCGACACACGTTCGACTATCCGCGCTCTGGGAGTTCACATGGGACGGTATCTCGTCCATGCAGGACGAAACCGCGTCCCAATTAGCCTGCGTTCTCACCACGCTCCACCCGCGTTCCCTCTACCTAGAAATACCAGCGATTTTGTGCGCCGATCTGTCTGATCGCACAGGAACTCTCTGGCAAGAGGTCGCCGCGGCCGCCCCGCACCTGCGCGCGCTCGTGCTCCATGTGGACTCATCCCTCTCGGACGACGATACCAGATGGGCACCCCCGGTACGTCGCGCTCCTGATCCGAGCGCGCCCCTCGCTCACCAGACGTGCGTCACACACCAGGATGCGCTCGTGGCGGAGCTCGCCCGGCTCCCGCTCATCTGCGTCCATCTCAAGGCGGATCCAGACTTGTGCTGGCGGAAGGGGGACGCGGACCGCCCACGCCTCCGCGCGCTCGCCGCGTTCCCCGGGGAGCATCCCCACTCTGCGCGTCGTGGGCGTATCGGATGGGTCGCGCAAGTTGGAGGGCGCGCGATCTACGCAGTGGTGGCGCGTCGAGCGCGGCAACGGCAACAGCGCAGTGCAGTCGCTAGTCGAGCTCTGGCGCGAGGACGGGGAGCGGGCGCTGCTGCTTGTGCAGAGCGAGGCGTTTTGTGCGTCCGATCTTGACGGTGAGGAGATGGTTCGAGTTCTGGTTTTATCCAGTGGCTGACTTGTAATCCTGTAGACATCTACTCGGAGAAGTGCCGTTACGTGAGGGGGTAAGCGGGGAGCACGAGGGCGTCACGAAGACGTCCAAGACCCCGCCGTCGCGACTCACCACGCGAATGAGGGAGACCGTATGCGAGGGGACTGTCGTCTCGCGCAGCGCCGGGTCATTCGTCATCCCGCAGACGACAGAGCTCGGCGCGCACGTTCTCGCGCACGTTGGTGGCGGATGGGACGTTGGTGCATGTGGTTGTGAGCTTCGCGGATGCCAGCAACTTGGACGCGCTATGTACTTACTAGTAGACGACGGGGTCTTGATCACCCTCAACTGGTATATGTACAAAGGAGCGCGCGGACTCGAATGTAGCTCTGCCCTGGTATTTACATAAAGTCTTTCCCAATCGACGCTGCATGTTTTGCGGCACTCTCCACGCACGCGCGTGCAGAATTGGACAGCGCAGTTGCGGAGGAAGGTTGCGCTTGAAAGGGCGTGCTCCCCGCTTACTCCCCCACGTAGCGGCGCTTCTCCGAATAGATGCCTACCGGAACGCAATTCAGCCGCTGGATAAAACCAGAACTCGACCCATCTTCTCACCGTCAAGATCGGACGCACAAAACGCCTCGTTCTGCACAAGCCGCAGCGCCCACTCCCCGTCCTCGCGCCAGAGCTCGACCAGCGACCGCGCCGCCGCGTCGTCGCCGTCGCCGCGCTCGACGCACCACCACCGCGTCGATCGTACGCCCTCCAACCGGCCCCACCCATCCGATACGCCCACGACACGCAGTGTGGGAACGGCTTCAGCGAGCTCCCTGGGGAACGCGGCGAGCGCGCGGAGGCGTAGGAGATCCGCGTCCCCCTTCCGTTCCAACAATTCAAGGTCCGCCTTGAGATGAACGCAGACGAGCGGGAGCTGGGCGAGCTCCGCCACGAGCGCGTCCTGGAGCGTGGAAGGTGTCCCGTGAGCAAGGACCGTGTTCGAACAGGAGCGCGACGTACCGGGGGCGCCCATAACCGCTGTCCCTCGCCGTCGGGGTGGCTGTCGTCGACTGAGTTCACATCGAGCACGAGCGCGCGCAGGTGCGGGGCGGCTGCGGCGACCTCTTGCCAGAGGGTTCCCGTGCGATCAGACAGCTTGGCATGCCATGTTGCTGATATCTCCAGGTAGAGGGAGTACGGCTTTAGCACGTCGAAGATGCGCGTGAATCGGGAATGTGTGGTCGAGATACCATCCTGGGTGAAATTCCAGACCATGGGGAATCGAACGTGTGTCGCGCGCAAGGCTTGCCGTTCCAGCAACGAGACTATGAGGTTTCTGGCATGCATGTGCAGAATTGTGAGGGTGAGTCGAGGGATCGGCGAGGGCCCACGCCATCTCGGTCGGGATTCGAGAGCGCCCGTTTTGTGCGGATGATAGAGACTAAGTCTCAGGGAGGTGACGTTGGGACAGAGATAAATGAGATCTGTCGCCGCGAGCCCGGTGACATTGAAGGTGAGATCCTGGATGGAGGTGAATAGCGGGTAGTTGGCGATGTCGATGGTGGCCGGCTTAAAGCGCTCTAGAATCAGAGCATACAGACGAGGGAAGGATCTGATTACGGAGATGAGGGAGGGGAGGTCGTCGCAAGCGTGTGTTCTCCCTTTATAGCCTAGACAGAGGCTCGTGAGATTGGGAGAGGGGATGTTTTGGATCGTCGGCAGCATGTTGTCCTCGACCGAATCGCAAGAGAGTTTCCGGAGCTCGCGCAGGCCTGCGAGAGCCATAGAAAGACGTGGGTTGTCATGGAGGAGAGCCGAACGGAATAACTCGAGGGAAACGATGTTCTTGGTTGCAAACAAGACATCAGGGAGCGTCGGTGCACTGTCGAGGTCGACACAGATCGCCATCTCACGGACATAATGGGCGTTGGTGACGAGATTCTCATGCCACCAGGAGACGAAGAAGGCCCGGTCTATCGAAAGGACTGCCCAGAGTCTTGGAGAGGAAATCATATGGCAGTGTTTGCAGGTGAGCGACAAGGCGCAGAGGTCTCGCTTTTCGAGATAGGAGAGGATGAGGAGGAGAATATCGTCGTTGAGACGATCGATGATGAGCGTGGCCATGGCAGGAACCTTGGAAGGGATAGATTAGCACGCAAACATGGATAATAATCGCAAGATGGCACTTGCCTTAGAAGAAGTCGAAGGGGCCTTGGCAAGTGAACGTATGCGACGTGTCTGGAAGATCTGTTGGTGCTCCGTGCGTCGTGGTGGACACTTCCGGAGGACCTCGGCAGCGCATAAGCGCTTAGTATGTCACGGCCCGCTTCACTGAGTCTTGTCACGGACGCGTATGGTCACGCTCACCGACTATCGTCTCTGCCACCATCCCGACCACCTATCTTAAGCTTGCTCTCTTGATTTACGCTGCTGTCTACTCCGTCTACGGCCGCTCTCCATGAACACCCCGCAAACTCCTCGTAGGAGTGCCAGTCGACGCGGAGCGGGACAGCCAAGTTTCGCAGCATGGCCGCCGACATCTCACTCCGACGTCGTCCCCTCCATCCATCCATATTCTCGCTCCGCTTGCCCGCTTGGCTATTGAAGACGCGGAAGAGCTCGCCTTGGACAACTGAAAAGCCCACTTCTACCCCTCATTCTCTCGCCAGAACACCCACTGTGCCAATACAATAACGTACGGCAAGGCAATCTTCCCCAGGGACATCAAAAGCGACAACGACGCGATCTTCAGCGTCGGCGAAACCGTACTCGTGAAGACGGTAAGCAAGTATCCATACCCTAGCGTGGGAGTCATCGCGGCTATACAGAATGTCGAGGGCGGCGGATTCGGGGGGCATTCACCCCTGCGCGTACGTGTCCATTGGTTCTGTCGTCCACGAGAACTTCCTCCCCATCGCGCGAAGCGAGAGTTCTGCGAGGTGCGTCGTTCTCTCATTTCTCTGCAGAGCCCATAGCCGATGCATCCTCCAGAACGAAGTGCTACCATGCCTTCATCCGCGGTCATCTCCCGCTTTACTGTCTATTCCTCTGCAGTGATCAAAGAGCCAGTCGACGATGCTGTGAACGACTTCTTCTTTTGCCGCCTCGCCATGAAAACCGCCGG